ATGAACTTGAGAGCACAAATGACAGCTGAGTGAAAAGTAATAAGCCCGTGGTTTTAATAATTGGCAAATTATTGGCAAAATAAAACCAATATTCCTCCAAGCTTTTCAACTGAAAAGGGAGCTTTCTGAATAATCTGTCTTATTTTCCTTTCTACCCACTCTCTACCACACAGGCTATGTTGGAACGGGACAACTTGCCACAGTCAACTCACTGTAGCCAACTCATCGTGGGAGAACTTGCCATGGGAAAATTCAACAAATACAAAAGTTAAATTAATTTCAATGGAACCCTGGCCAACAAGAATAAAATAAGAAAGTCAATCAACAAATATAAGAGTTACAATAATTTCAATGAAAACATGGTCACCCATAATAAAAGTAATTAAATGAAACTAATACAGTGTTGGATTGTCCCTTGATGAGTTGTCCCACAATGAATTGTGCCATAGTGAGTTGGCAACAGCTAGTTTGCCACAGCGAGTTGGCCATGGTGAACTGGCCCTGGTGAGTTATCCTGGATCAGGGCTGTGTACCCCTTTTCAGAACATGCATCTTAAACAAGTACCTTCTACTTGGGAGATTCATTTAAAGAGGCCATGAGCAAAGGGAAGGCAGAAACATACCTGCTCATTCTTAAACACAGAGATACTCTTATTGAATAAATTAGCATCTTTTAAAGAGCCTTCCATTATTTCCCCCCCCCCTTCCCTTCCCCCAAATAATTAGCCAGACATTTGCAAAATCAGGCACAAGAATCGAAAGATGTTTCACTTACATTAGAAGAAAAGTGAGGTGACCAGGTGTGTCTGATTCAACATTGTCAAGTTCTTTTAAATAACCTGTTATTTAACCCTCAGGTCCTTGCCTTCTATTTTGGAAGCTTTAATTTGAATTTCTTCACTAAACTGCAATGCAGGAATGGGTTAAATTGTCCTGCCGATGCTATGATTCTCTAAGTGCGTCATGGTCCATATGGATTGGACATATTTTCCAGAGGGCATTATATCGTTGGGAAGGGGAAAAATGGATGCTATCCAGATTTGATGTCTATGGACATTCTAAGTTATCCAGGTCATGGTTATCCCAAGGTGCTTTTTGCAAAAGGCAACTGGACTTTGTTTTTCCTTGAAGACATTTCGCTTCTCATCCAAGAAGCTTCAGTTCTGATGGAAGTTTCTTTTTTTTTAATTGAAAAGTTTTACAAAAGTTTACAACAAAACAACCCCAACCCCCCCCACCCCCTCCCCCTCCCACACTTCCCAGAGCTGAATACAGGGTTACAAATATGACAATCATAATCTAAATAACATTAACCAACTATATAAAAACCAAATCCATAATACACTTTAACTCCCTTTTAACATAAAATAAACAAATTCTAAATAAGCATAATAACATAAACAAATTAATATCCTAATTCTTAAGCAATACGATATAATAAAAATTCCACTATAATAAATAATAATAATAATAATAATAATAATAATAATAATAATAATAATAAGATCAGCAAGTTAAGATCACATGCAAGCAAGCTAGAACAGATGAAAGAAAAGAAGCTGAAGAACAAGAAGACCAAAGAATACCTAATCAAGAAATACCACTTAGAAACAAGGAAGATCAAGGAAGCACTGGAAATAATAAAGCAACAAATAACAGCTATAGCCAGGAAAATCAGTAGATATGAAGCTCGAATTGCAAACTATAGGCAGAACCTCCAATTTCAATCCAATCAGAAACGTTTCTACCAATCCATCAATGGAGAAACTGCAAGGAATCAGTCAGTACCTGACAAGGAAGAAACAGTGCAGTTCTGGAAGCAGATATGGGATAACCCAAAGAAATACAACAAGGATGCGGCTTGGTTAAAAGAGGTGGATGCAAATAAAACAGAAGTTGAAATGAAAGAACTAGTAATAACAACAAAAATGGTAGAAAAAAGAGCAAAGAAAATCAAAAATTGGTCAGCACCAGGTGAAGATGAACTGCATGGGTTTTGGTTGAAACATCTAACTGTTATACACCCACTCATTGCCAAGCAGTTCAACAATATACTACAAGGAGGAGAAATTGAAAAGTGGCTAACAACTGGGAAAACCTACCTAATAATGAAAAATCCAGCAAAAGGGGCAACACCAGGTAACTACAGGCCAATTACCTGCTTACCAACAACTTTCAAATTACTAACTGGTGTGGTAGCTGATGCAGTACAACAGCATCTAGTTGAAAACAATCTCTTTCCACCTGAGCAGAAAGGAAACCGCCCCAATAGCAGAGGAACAAAAGATCAACTCCTAATAGACAAAATGATCTTGGAAAACTGCAAGAGAAGGAAGACCAACCTGAATGTGGCATGGATTGACTACAAAAAGGCATTTGACTCTCTGCCACATGACTGGATAATCAAGTGCCTAGAAATAACAGGAGTAAGTAGAAACATCAGAAAATTTGTGCAAAATCGATGGCACAATGGAAGACACAGTTGCAGATCAATGGTGAAAGCTGGGAGAGGTTAATATCAAGAGAGGAATATTTCAAGGAGATTCATTATCACCATTACTATTTGTTATTGCACTGTTTCCTCTGTCAACAATACTGAATAACTCAGGACATGGCTATCAAACATCAAAAACATCTGCTAGACTATCCCACCTCCTTTACATGGATGATCTGAAGCTGTATGGAAAAACATCATCTGAAATAGAATCGCTGCTCAACACTGTCCGTATATATAGCCAAGATATTGTAATGGAGTTTGGCTTGGACAAATGTGCCACACTTACTATCAAACAAGGAAAAATAGTGAAAACTGAAGGAATCAAGATGCCCCACGAAAATAACATTAAGAGTCTGGATGAGGAAGAGTACTACAAATACTTGGGTATCCTTCAAGCTGACAACATCAAGCACACTGAAGTCAAGAAAAAGATTAGAGGTGAATACATCAAGAGAGTGAAGAAGATCTTAAAATCCAAACTCAATGGAGGAAATACCATAAAGGCAATCAACACCTGGGCAATCCCAGTCATTAGGTACACAGCTGGAATAGTGGACTGGACTCAAGCAGAACTAAAAGCAATGGATAGGCAGACCAGAAAAATAATGACAATGAATCATGCCCTTCATCCACGCAGTGACATTGATAGACTTTATCTACCAAGGCAAATAGGTGGGCGTGGAATGCTACAAGTACATCAGATGGTTGAAGAAGAAAAAATGGCTTTGGAAGAATATCTGAAGAACAATGATGAAGATGCACTGAAATTAGTATATCAGGAAGGCTTACTAACTACTGGAGAGACCAAACTGGCCTACAAGAAAGACCAAATGAAGAACAGAATAGAGGCATGGGAAGACAAAGCACTACATGGCCAATACATTAAAAAAATAGCTGGGAAAGCAGATAATAACAAGACCTGGCAATGGCTAAGAGCAGGAAAATTGAAGAAAGAGACCGAGGGACTAATTCTGGCTGCACAAGACCAAGCCTTAAGGACAAATGCATACAAAGTCAAAATTGAAAGACAGCAACAGACAGTAAGTGCCGCCTATGCAAAGAAGCTGAAGAAACAGTGGACCACCTGGTAAGCTGTTGCAAGAAGATTGCACAGACTGATTACAAGCAGCGGCATGACAAAGTAGCAACAATGGTGCATTGGAAGATCTGCAAAAAATATCATTTGCCTGTAAGCAAAAACTGGTGGGATCATAAAATAGAGAAAGTCATAGAAAATGATAAAATTAAACTGCTCTGGGACTTCAGAATTCAAACAGACAAGCACCTGCAACATAACACCCCAGACTTAACAATTGTCGATAAGAAAGACAAAAAAGTCTGGATAGTGGACGTGGCAGTGCCTGGAGACAGCAGAATAGAAGAGAAAGAACTGGAGAAGATAACAAAATACAAAGACCTACAAATAGAAATAGAAAGACTGTGGCAAAAGCAAGCAAGGGTAGTACCAATAGTCATAGGCTCCTTGGGTGCAATCCCAAAACAACTGGAGCACCACTTGAACACCATTGGCATTGACAAATTTGCTATTAGTCAAATGCAAAAGGCGGCCTTATTAGGAACTGCTTCCATCCTGCGACGATACCTGTAATACCATCAAACATCCACATCTGCCTATCCCAGGTCCTGGGTAAGGACTCGATAGGTAGACAAAATGCCAAATCCAGTCTGAACATCTGGCTGACTGTGCGATGATTGAGAATAATAATAATACTCATTATTCAAAAAGTAAATGAAATTTTTATTCCCGTATTTATTTTGAATATAGTCTATCCATCTTCTCCACTTGAACACCATTGGCATTGACAAATTCACTATTAGTCAATTGCAAAAAGCGGCCTTACTAGGAACTGCTTCCATCCCGTGACGATACCTGTAATACTATCAAACATCCACATCTGCCTATCCCAGGTCCTGAGTAAGGACTCGATAGGTAGACAAAATGCCAAATTCAGTCTGAACATCTGGCTGACTGTGCGATGATCCAAAATAATAATAACAATACTCATTATTCAAAAAGTAAATGAAACTTTTTATTCCCATATTTATTTTGAATATAGTCTATCCATCTTCTCCAAACTGAAATATATCTTTCTTGTGAATGGTCCTTCAAATAAGCAGAAATTTTTGCCATTTCATTCACGTTTCTTGAATGAGAAGCAAACTGTCTTCAAGGAAAAACAGAGTACCTTTGGGATATCCAGATTTAATGTTTCTCCCATTGCAGAATCCTATAGGAATTAATTACCCATTTTTATTTCCACTTCCCCCTACTTTCTGTAGGAAGACCAGGAAGAAAAAACAACCCTTCACTAATTTAACAGTGCAGGCAAGCTGATCATGGGTAGTGATTTTCCTTCTGAGATCATTATTCCTATTCTCACAATCAAAGCTTCTGCATGTTTAAGCTGAACATTGGTTTTGAATTGGCTCTAGCAGTCAGGACAGCCTGCACTCATTTAGGCTATTTCTTCTCTTCTTGCAGATATTGAAAACCCAACAGACATCGCCCTGTACTCAGGCCTGGGGGCCGCCGTCATTGCCGTTGCCGTCATTGTTATTGGGGTGACTCTCTACAGGAGGAGCCAGAGTGAATATGGCGTGGATGTGATTGACTCCTCGGCTCTGACAGGAGGCTTCCAGACCTTTAATTTTAAAACTGTCCGACAAGGTTGGTAAAATTGGACAATGACTTTTGGAGGAAGGAACCGATCAGTGGAATTAGGTGACCAGTTTTAAGCTTCCTTGACTTTTCACGTATGTATTGTATGTGGTGTGGGATTGACTTCCTGCTCATCCCCTTATGCCATATTGATCATGTAAACAAGGGGGGAAGTACAGATATCTTCAACACAAGTAAATTCTTCCTACATTGCTGGACTTCCTCCTTTAGATAGCTGGTAAGTTGTCAGCTTTCTGTATAGGCATAGCATGCTAATCATGCTTCCAGATATCTTGGTAATCTTTCTTACCAAATTCAGGTGAAAATGCATCCTTTTTGAATCAGACAGTGGGTGGAATTGAGTCTTCCCTTCCAGTCCGCACATCCATTCAGAAACCACAATGGAATGTAAGCCAGGATGTATAGATGATATAGTTCTAATACAGGGTTTTCAAACTTGGCAACTTTAAGACTTGTGGAGTTCAACTCCCAGAATTCCTCAGCCAGCCAGGGTCTTAAAGTTGCCAAGTTTGAAGACCCTTGTTCTAATACAATCATAACTTAATAGGAGTGGTACATTTTGGTGAATGTTTGGAACAGTCAGCACCAGTGAGCATAGCCACTTGGAGTAGACTTTTGTCCAACGTATGCAAAGACATCCATGGAACAAACTCAAGCTGTGTGCTTATTGTTATTATTAGTTAAGTACAGCAGCACCACATTTAAAAAGGAGGTTTTATAAGTGTCTTTAAACCCAATAAATTGATTGTGTTTAACTCCTAGATTGCAGTAGTAATAAAGAACACTATTGTAACATCTGATTGATTCAGTGTTAAAAGGTCTGATAGACATCTTCATTGAACAATCAAATGGATTCAGAATTCCTGAACCATTTGTTCATGGTTTATTAAATCCCACAGAAATGTTTATACGTTGAGTGGTGAGGGGAAAAAAACCCACTCTGCTGACTTTGTGTCCTGTATAAGTTATATAGTGCATCCCATTGTTCAAGTATCATTATTCAAACTTGGCACTTCTGATCTCAGCTCTAGTAGATCTCTACTTGAAAAAGGTGGTCCATTCATGGAGAGTTGAAGACATGAGTAGTGTGTTATATTATATAAAGTCCAATTTGTCAAGTTTAGTCATTGCTTAAATGTATCATCAAACACTCAGGAAATCTTAAATTGTACATTGTGATATTTTTCCCTAAGGACCCTTTTCTTGAAAACTTTATGTAACAAGTTAGAGTCTCTCTTTTCTTTTGAAATAACATTTTGGTTTCTGAAAACCCTGGTGCTAGAAATGTGAAGACAACTATGGTTATTTACTTATAAAAAAATATTTCCATAGAATCATAGAGTATAAGGGTTGAATGAAAGACATCCTGAAGATCATTTGCCCAGAGGAGGGATCCTGTACCAGGGCATTGCCAACAATTGGCAATCCAATTTTTAACATTTCCAACAAAAGAGAGACCACCGACTCCCAAGATAGCCTATTGAATTGGAACATATCTTATTACTGTATTGGGATTTTTTTCAAACCTGATATCCAAATAGAATCTAATTTCACATAATTAACCCCATTATTTTTTGGCCTGTCTACTACAACTCTACAGGGAAGATCATAAGGTTCTTCTTAACAGCTATCAGTCCCAAGCCCTTTATCCCCCATAAATTCCCTCCGGCCCTTCATCATCTATATTATTATAATGAATATATTAAATTATCTAGATGAGATACTAATTTTAATTTCCATGGTGATTGGGGGGAGGAAGGAAGTACTATATTAGTACTGAGAGTTTAACGAGGCAGCTATGCAATGACTAAATCTACTAAATATTTCATCTGTACAGTGATTCACATACACAATCTCATACACATATGAGAAACAACCAATCTGTAGGAAACTGTAGGAGAAAATAGGCAGAGCCTGGGAACAGAGTCAAGGGAGGACTCAGCCTAGAATCCTTACATGTCCACAAAGGCTCCATGTCCAGTCCCCCTTCAATTCCATTAACTCTTATCAAGCGCCAGTTTAGTGCTGCCCGTTAGTTGACCACATTCTTTTGTATAGACTTGAGCAATAAATCTACTGAACTGGAACTTACATGTGATTGTGATTCTTCACATCTGATAGAAATTATCCTGTAGAACAGTGGTTCTCAACCTGTGGGTCGGGACCCCATTTGGGGTCGAACGACCATTTCACGGGGGTCGCCAAACAACGCAGTCCACCATTTTTTTCCCCCTTTTCCTTAGCTATGCTACTCCCTTTTATTCTATTGGCTTTTGAAAGCCAATAGAATAGACTCTCTTGAATAGAGTCTAATTCTATTGGCTTTCAAAAGCCAATAGGAATTGTCCAGGCTGTCTCTGCCCTGCTGAGCCCGCCAAAAGTCCCATTCTGCAAACGGTGCTGCACCAGTTGAGTAGTCTTCGACTTACGACCGGTTGAGTAGTCCTCGACTTACGATCGGTTGGGGGTCGCGGCATTAAAAAGGTTGAGAACCACTGCTGTAGAAGATGAAGCAGTATGGTTCAAAATTGTTCCAGAAAGAAAGACAATGGGTAAACAATGGGTTTACATTACAAATCAGATATCAAGAAGAGTGTCCTAATGCTACAAGTGATTCCACCATGCAAAAGGAGGTGGTGAACTTTCCTTTGTTGGAGATGTTTAAACAGAAGCTGTTTAAACATATCCAAGATGATGGCCATCAGGATGTAGTAGCAGTGGATTCCTGCAGTGAGCAGGGGATTGGATTTCATGATTTTCACAGTGCCTTTCAACCTTTTCACTCTATGATTCAGGGTAAGAACCTGGGCAAAAATCAGCCTTCTTAGAAATCTGGGCCTACAATTTCCTCAGTAGTCACTGAGCCAAAGAGTTCCCATAATGAGATTTTTAGCTATTTCTCACAGCATGTATTATTAATACACCCACACATCAGGAGAGAGAGAGAGAGAGAGAGAGAGAGAGAGAGAGAGAGAGAGAGAGAGAGAGAGAGAAATTCAAGAGTAAACTAAAGAAAAAAAGAAAAGAAAAGCATCTATTTTTATAGGAATTCAAATTACATGGTAACGGCACAATTGTGGATGGAAAGCTGCAAAAAAAATCTATGCATATGCCCTTCTGTACACATACATATAACAATAAGTCTTATATTGGTGTGTGTGTGCTTATGCATACTGGGAAAATCACTGAAGCACAAAAACATTTGGGCAAGGATGTCAAACTGTTGAGAAGAAAAGTTAACAAAATAACTTCAGCATAGGTAAAAAATATTCCCACACAGTCATATACAAATGTATATAAATTACCAAAAACCAAGATTGTTTAATGCTGATAGGAAAATAATCATTGACTGAACTCTACGCAGATAGGTTCAGAAATTGGTTTCTTAAAAGCGGTATTTAAAAAATAATAATAATCAGGGAGACTGATTAGGATTAGAGAGCTAATCCCGCCCATTCACTTACTCTACTTTTTTCTCCTTATTCCATCCATTCATTTGGATGTCTTTCTCTTCTGGTGTCTACAGTGGAATAATAATAAAAAAGTCTGTGAATTATTTTATTCTGATCAACAGTAAGCAACCACAACCACATCTCTATCAGAACATTGGAGAAACACAGCTTCTTAATGCCCCTGATTTGTCTCCTGGATATCTCCAAAGTTTCAGCATAGTCAGAAAAGTTGAGCAAAAGAGATTACTTAGTTTGGAGTAAAGCGAGTGGAGCATTTTCCTTGGCTCAATTTAAAATAAAGGTGAAGAGCACCAGACTGCAATGTTAATTTTGCTTGTATATAGCTTGTCTAGTTTAAACAAGCATTATGAACAGGTGACAAGAGCTTGTTCTGCTCTGAAGTATGAAGTAAAATGGGATGAACACTTTGCTGGCAATGTTGCAATTAGTGGAAAATGTATGTAGCTCAGGAATGAATTATTTATTTTGGCTCGCCTCTATGCTTACTTCTCTTCCCGGACATGTTTCATTACCTCTCTGGGTAACAGCATCAGGGCATGGAGGAGTGGGGTTTGCTGCCTGTTTACATGTGGTAGATTGTCCTTTCAGCCTTGATTATTTCTTTTCCTTGGTTGCTTTTGGGGTGGGATATGGTTTCTTCTTTATTCTTCTTTATCTGGTTGTTCGTTAACAGAGACATAATGAGGAACGGTGTGTGTTTAGGTCTGTTTGCCTCTTTCCTTCTCCTTTGGTTGCTTCTCTTCTTGAATAGTGTTTAGATGAAGCTTAATTCGATGCACCTATAAATGGATAATTCATTCAGAGTCACATCTCTATGGCTTTTCTTGCATTTTTGAATCTCAATAATAAAGGTAACTATTGATTTTAGGTGTTTTCCGAACTTGATTGTTTTCCTGCAGATGCTAGTTAACACCATCAGTCTATATGTAAGCCCCATAGGTAGACCAGACCAAGAAATCATCTTCAAAGGGAATCTAAAATTACTTTTATTCAGACTGGCTGTCATAATAGAATTTTGCAAGTCTGATTGTGTTGTAACTTTTCTCCTTCATTTACTCCAGGTGAATTAAGGAGGTTTCTGTCTGAGCCACTTCTGAAGATTATCTGAACATTCTGGACTTAGACAAAATGTTTTACCTCTTGTTTACAGAGCCCGTGTCTCTCCCTCAAGGTCACCTTCCTTAATCTCGACTACAGCATGGGAGACTTGATTTGCTGGTGGCTTATTCATAGTAGCTTGCTCTGCCAGTAAACCCTATACTCTCATGCACTAGTGATGTTATGTATCCTGGTCATGAAATATCTTCCAGGAAAATATCCAAGCTCAGTGAATCTATTTAGAGCTGGCTTGGTCTAAGATATCTGCAGTTTTCCAACAGAAACTGTGGTTGCCTCGGGCATAAATTTTCCTCCTGATAATTAGTTTTCTGTTTGGAAAAAAACACATTTACTTACTTATAATTTATTACAAAAATCTCCCATTTGAAATCCAATGTAATGTTGCTCAAGGTTTGCAATCTTAATGCGAGTATGCAGACAACGCTTAGGGTTCTACGTAGCAATGGTAACTGATTGCTTGATCAATTTCCTTCTATCAGGTAACTCCTTGCTTTTGAACTCATCCATGCAGCCTGACCTGACTGTGAGTAGAACCTACAGTGGACCCATATGCCTTCAAGATCCCATTGACAAGGAGCTAATGACAGAATCCTCCCTCTTCAACCCTTTGTCTGATATCAAAGTCAAAGTTCAGAGTTCATTTATGGTGTCGTTGGGGGTGACGGAACATTCGGAGTATCACGGGAAAACTCATTCCGGGACATTTCCGCATGACAACAACAAAACTTTCAATCCTGTGCATGTGAAAAACAAAACGGCCTACATCCAGAATCTCTCATCTCTTTCCAAGCAAAACGAGATGAGGGCTACCAGCATATTTGGTCATCTGGGAGGGCGTTTAGGAATTCCCAACACAGGTGGGTTTCTGCCGAATTTGCAAACATTTGGAAATGCAGGCCTAATTGGATTTTCTCCCTTGGGTTTATTTAAAAATATGCAATAGTAATAAATGCTTCTATCAGCTTTCTCTCAGAGGAATATGATGTGTGAACTTTTGCATGTAGAGAAGTAACTGTGACTAGCTAACAATTTGGTAAAGCTGTTTTAATCCTCCCACTGCAGCTGTGAGGTTTTTTTCTTAATTTCTAAAAAGGAGCACAATTTTTCTTTGATAGGGGATAAAATAATTTCAGACCTGACCTGCCACAATTTAAACCTCTAAATAAAAATAATCCTTGGCTCCATTTGTTAAGAATGGTATAGTTTATTAGAGGTCAGGTGTATGGCAGTAATGCAAAGCCAAAACTGAAAATTGTACCAAAATGGCTAAGTTCTACTTTTCCCTCTCTTAACTGTCTCTCATTGCCCACCCCAGTATAACCAGTCAGGTTCATGCAAGGTGTTTTCATAATGGTCCTTCCAAGGGCAGTTTAGTATGCAGCCCCCTCCTTTTCCCAACTGGGTGACCTTGAGGCAGTGTCTCAAGGAAGTATAGCACTTACTTTCATTTCCCCAAGCATTTCCCTCTTCCTTCTTCCTCCCCACACTTCATGGCAGTCTGTCACTGCATAGCAGCAAAACACAAGCAAGCATAAAGTGACAGCTGACTTTGTAGAAGTGAGGAGGAGAGGATACCTTAGCTTGGAAGTGGCTGAGTGGTCTCTGTTTTTGAGTTTCTTCCAGTTCTTTGAGTGAATGGTCATACGACCAATCAACCCTGCATAATCACCTGGGAAGGTATTCTGTTCCATGATTATTATGGGGCACATAATTATCCAAAGATGGAAGAAACTGCAAGATGGAGAGAACCTCTGTACCCATGCAAGTGAGTACAGAAATTAAGTTTAAACAGTTTCTTAAAGATAGATTTCCTCAGCCATCACCCAAGGAAGGCAATCTCTCCTGTAGTGTGAGACTTCTCAAAGATTTTCCATTTCAAATCACTGCTATTTAATTTGCTCCCCATCTCTTCCTGCACATACTTTCATGAATGGAGCAAATTAAAGGTGAATGGATAATTTGGCACATCAATACCTTAATGATTAACAGAATACTTTTTATATGGTAAGTAAGCTTGTAATCTAACATTCACTCAGTTCAAAGGATGAGCTCATTCCATTTGCCATTCTGTAGAAGAAGAATTGAAGTAACACATTCTCTCCCAGGTTATTTATCACAGCCCTGCTGAATCCAATGGAACACACACACACACACACACACACACAGGCTTTCCAACAGTGGCAAACCATAAGCTTCTTTCAAGCTTCTCCCCAAAAGGCATTATGAAAATAGCCATTCCTCTCTTCTTTGGTTCACTCAAATTCTTAAGTTTTCTTTCCCTATAAAATAAGCTTCTGTTCTTTCTTACCTTACTCTTGTGATGCATTTCTTGCATATGCTTTTCTGGAAAGTGTATTTTTTAAAAACTCCATTGTAATGAAATGATCAAACCAACTGTCATTCTGGTTCCCCAAACATATTTCACTAACATTCTGCAGCTTCCTGGTTTATTTGGTTCCTAATAAGACAAAGGTCCACAAAAAAATTCTATTCTAATGTAAATTCAGGGTAGCAATAGACCAATGAATGTTGCAAGAAGGGAGCTATATAGTCTTTACAAAAATAAGGAGTCTGGTAGTAACTTTTTCAAATGTGTTAACTGGACAAGGTGCTACTAGACTCATTCTGGTTCAGGCCACTGGAGAGAGGCCATACCGTGAAATCAAAGCACATGCAATCACCTCAGAGCCATGGAATCATTAAAAGACCCTCGCCCCTAATTTCATTGAAACATTTATTTGTTGACTTTATGGATTCTGGCTCATTCCACACGGGCATGGTGCTGTAGAATAACAGTCAAAGAATAATAACAGCAAAACAGATCTAATAATCATGAAAGGGGTCAAAGCCTTGCATAAATGATAGGAGTAATGAGAATATTGATGACGGTTCCTAACTGAACTGCATTCTGAACAACTGCATTTTCTAAGGGTCAGGAGCGATAGAGCCATCCCAGATTTCTGAATAAATACCATACAGGAAAGGTTGATGCCTGCGAAACAAGATTGTCCTGCTTTCAAAGGAAGGTTCTTCTTTGAAGCAAATTCCTCACACAATTTCTTTTATGTTAGATTGAATGAAATTAGCAAGGAAAACCTGTCAAAAGAAAAGTTTGATGAAGTGTCCGTTCATGGTGCTCTTCTTTGCCCAAATACAATGATAGATGTAGAAGAGGTAGAGGGAGACTGAGAAGGTTTACTGGCCACATCCCTTATCATATTTCTACCATTTGCCAAGTATTACAAAGGCTGTAGCAGGGATCAGCACCCAAGTGATTTCAAATTCTACATGGTTAATTTTCTGGATCACATAGGGAGCTTGTACTGAGCATATAGCTGGGCCCTCCTACTGTCTGCCTACGGGAGGCAAATGCCCAAATAGGTACAGCTTGTGAAGATTTCTACTGTTTCATGTTGTGAAATAACATTAATTTTAAAATACGCTGTTCTTTTGTTGTATGAAGTTTTTGGTTTTTTTTTTAAAAGCCATTGGGGTAGCAGATGTTTCTCTTTCTTTCCTCATCAAAGCTAACTATTGGAATAACATGTCAAAAATGGGAAACCTGCTCTAGAGTATCCAGCAATTATACGAGATGCTTGCCTTGCTCAATGAAATGAAACTCTTTTCTTTTTTTCTGTCAAACAGCACAGGCTTTCGATTACATTTTCAGTATTATTTTTTGTTTTAGTTGGGTGTATCCCTGTGAGTAAAAAAAGGCCATTTAAAATTGCTGCTCAGTTGTCCTGCTGGCAATTCTTCAGTGGGTAGTCATTTACACTTGTCAATTACAGGCAAGGGTCCCATGTCCTGTGCAATGCAGTGTTTTACTCTGGAATTTAATCTAGATACAAAAATTATAGCTTGAAGAACCTGATTTCCCTCTAAAAGAGAGGCAGACCTTCACAAATTCTGTAGATTATACATTGATCCAGGTTCTTGAAGGCTATGCATGTGACTTTTTAAAGGGATGAAGACCAGTCAAGATTCACTTTTAGATTCCAAATGGCAAGATTTGATTGAATAAAAGTGTATGAGTTTGTGTCTCGCTCTCTGTGTCTGTGTGTATTTGTGTGTACATAAATGCACAAAGTCCTCTGAATGTTCACATCAACACAAAGGCACCTGGTCTGATTACACTCAGCAAATGGATTTTCAGTGGAAGAGTCAACCATTCAGACAGAAAACTCACACATCTCAACTTATTATCCGTGCCTCCAGGGAAGTCCTGTGATACTGTGATCTCTTAAAAGCCAGACTGAACTTTAACCTTACTTTGACAGTGAAATTACTTTCACCTTTACTTTTTTTTAAATCATATCCTGCAGACACTGTTCCCCTACTCCTGAAGAAATGGTTCAGAATTCTGTTCCTGCCCCTTCACTGGTCATTATATGTTAAATATAATGGATGATGAAGAGGATGGATTTAAAAGTACAATTCCAAGCTATTGTCTTGTAAGGCAAACAAAGAACAGATCCTCCCAATTATGAGCAGTAGCTTACATGTGATATGGGTTGATCAAGTAGCAAAATAGCATACTCAGTTCTGCCAGATTCACAAATGTGTTTTGAAAGGTGGTGCATATTGGATTGCCCAAACATTCATATGAATGCATTTGCAACTGGGCATGCATCCCTGGACAATCGGACATGACACTATCTGAAGGGCTCTCTTAAAGAAGAAAATGATCTCTATTGTTTTAGAGGGAAGGACATGGATATGGGTTTAAGTTTGAGAAAAGCAGATTCCAAATGAATGTTTGGAGAAGCTGCTGAATAGGAAGAGCTATCTCTTGCAGGATCAGTGATCTCAAGAGGGCTAAGCTCTTGGATGTATTCCTGCACAGACTGGGTCAACATTTGCTGGCATTATCAAATTGGATTTTAGCACTGTACAAGGACTTGGGCTTTAGTTTCTCAATGAGTCCTCTAAACAAAACTGTAAGATTCGAGGAGCTCAGATAGTTAAAAAAAATATATCAATCTCTGAAGCACTTTGTTGTGGATTCTGGGCTGTGCTGTAATGTTTTGCTGCTGGACAAAACATCCTGTGAAAGGATCTCTTTTGTGAGCTGTGCTATTCAACTCATCCAGGGGACAAAATTGTTTATTCCCCAGGAGAATCACTCCAGAAGAAGAGGGTAAAAAAGGTGAAGAGAAGGCAACACACTGAGCAGGGTTTAATTGCTGATGCTCATTTATCGCTTTGTATATCATAATAAGCATAGCCACGTTATCAGTACGGGTCAAGATGTCATTCCTATTTAAGTGAATAAATTAGTAGGCTTGGTACCAAGATTCATTTAATTGCTAGTAAGAACTGCTGCATGGTAAAAAGCTGGCGACTTCACTGAATTATCTATGTTTGGAAGTCTTAAGGGAGAGAGGTTTCCATTCTTCCCCCCTTCCTTTTCTCTAATATTTTGTAGAGTTGTTTGGGGGTCACACCCCTCTCAAACAGGTGGAATGTACTGTAACTCCAAGTCACTTGCCTTATTTATATCTTTTATCTCTACTCTATGGCACCGAACCCTTTTTAGCAACTTTCCTGCCCCCTCTGAACGTGCTGCTTAATTTCATTTGCTACTGTTGCAGAATACAGCTGAGTCAGTTTCTTGCCAATTTTGAGGGAGGACATATGTGAAAACACCCATGTGCGTTGTGAAAAAGGCTTAGCACAGCTTAAGATGCAAAAGGAATGAGGAAAACATTTTCTTTAGAGACAGTTGGAGTTCTTTTTTATATGCACCCATGAAATCTGCTAATAATGATCTTTTCCAATATATTTTAGGCATATATATTTTTATTGAGTTTTCTTTCATTGCACTTGTATTTTGGTCTGTGACCGCAAAATAAAAATTATTATTATTATTATTATTACTATTATTATTATTATTACTATTATTATTATTGTCATATATATTATATTAATGCTGTCATCATCACCATCTAACTAAAGTTTCTTGTGGCTGTAAACCAGCCTCATAAAATATTTATCCATTAGTACTATGTTTGTGCATATGTGTATATGTGCATATGTGTGTATTGGTGTATATGTGTTTGTGTGTGTGTCTATGTTCAATACACATAGCAACGTTTTCTAAAAACAAAGTAATAATTGACCTATGATGCCTCACTTTCTGTACACTCTGGGATTGAGTGAGTTTGTGTGTACAGATTGATTGTTTTTCATACCAATGGTTCCAAAAATCTCCAGGCTATTTTCTCATAGAATTGACCAGATAAATTTTGTCCTATAGGAAGAATTTCCATTTTCTCTATTAAATGTATCAATATTAATGGATATTGCCCTCATTTATAGCCATTCTCAGGAGAAAGGGTTCCCAAACCAATTGTTTGATATCTTATAATGGGAAATCTAAAGCAAGGAAATTGTGTGAAGCAACTTTGTTATCCTTGCAATCTGCCCCCAGAAGCAGGCTTCACACTAATTGGATTTATACAATATACTAATTGGAATATACAATATTTGCAGTGTTGACAGCAGGATTGTGACTCTCTGATGCAGTTAGCTGGTAGTTCTATGTACAACCCGAAAAAGTCCTCCAAGTGGCATATGGGGAAGTGGCTGTGATGGGCACCCCTAATGACCAATTTACAATGCATGGATCTGATCTTCAGAGTGATGTTTATACAGCGACTATTTCTCCTGTTAGAGGAAACAATGTACAGGTGAAAACATGTTCTTGTTTTTATGTCTGTCATTCAGTTTGATGTCAGATAAATTTCTTTAGAAATTTGTCCAAAGGTTATGAGAATTGTAGACAAATTCTCATAACACTCCCTTATTTAATTCCCTGGCAGCCAAAGACATGTGTGAATGTCCTGTCTTTCACTGTACAATTCTCTCTCAATAATCTGCAGTTTTCTTGGCTTCCCAACTTCACTTAAATCCAAAGGGAAGACACTTCAAGAGAATTTCTTCAGGAGCTACTTCAGTAAGAGTCCTTCAGCACTGGGGGGGGGGGGAATTCCTTGATCCCTTGAGACAGTGGTGGCGAACCTATGGCACGCGTGCCAGAGGTGGCACTCAGAGCCTTCTCTCTGGGCACGCGTGCCGTTGACCTGGCAGAGTTCACCAGAGTAGCGGGCACATAGTGTTTGGAAGCAACAGGGCAGGAAATGAGCAAGCAAGTGGCGGTGACCTCCCAGGAATGCTCTTGAGATGGCAAGGGACTGGCCCTGGCCATGCTTACCCAGTCTGCTGTGACCACTGCAGCCATGCCCACCCAGTGGGCCACGCCCCCCACACTGAGGGTACCACAATGCTGATGCAGCCCTGGCACTTTGCGATAAATAAGTGGGTTTTGGGTTGCAGTTTGGGCACTTGGTCTCTAAAAGGTTCGCCATCACTGCCTTGAGAGATTGTTGAAGAATTTCAAGTAAAACATCCACCCAATTTGAGAACTGGGCAGACAATTTTGAAAGGTTTTTTATGCCCTGTTCTGCATGGTGATATTACTGTCTCTGGGAAAGGATGCTTAAGATAGAGCAGTGCATAGAACAGAAGGCCACAGCAGGTCCACCTGAACCATCTCTGATTAGAATCCAACTTCATCGTTTCATATTATTAAATATCTAATTTTTAGGCTAAATTTTCAGAGGAGAAATTCATCAGAAACCAGCAGGATAAGGATTTTGCATCAAAACCCTTGATACATGTGAACTTCCCAGATACTGTGAAGAATTATTTTTAACCCATACCTACACAATTTAATACTGAAAAAAAAAAACACTTTTTGCCATATTAACACAAGTATTACTGCGGTAGGCTATTAAAAAATAATCTTTATTGTTTTCAAGTGCTTCCTGCAAACAAAATATAATTTTACCTGAAACCATGGAGAAAGATTGCTCTGCAAATATTCCAGTATAATAAATGCTTATCAGTTGAATCATGATGTTTGTTGTACTATTCAGATGACAGCAACATTGATTTATCTACTGCAAAGCCACGATAAAAGTGATATGTTCCTTTTGTCTGTTGCAAGTTCAGTTCACTTTAATTCTAATAAGCACTTGGAGTGTTTCCAAGTAATTTTTGTCCTTGCTGTTCCAGGAGTTAGCCTGCTAATTCCCCATGGGGCTATCCCTGAAGAAACATCTTGGGAGATCTACCTTGCAATCAACCATGATGAATCCAGGTAAGGCTGGAACAAAGTCTGATACATATATTATCTTTTTAACAGGCAAGGCAAGGCAAGGCAGGGCAGGACAGGGCAGGGCAGGGCAGGGCAAGGCAAGGCAAGGCAAGGCAAGGCACAGCAAGATAAGGCAAGGCAAGGCACAGCAAGGTAAGGCAAGGCAAGGCAAGGTAAGGCAAGGCGAAGGGAAGGGAAGGGGAAGCGAAGGGGAAGGGAAGGGGAAGGGGAAGGGAAGGGGAAGGAGAAGGGAAGGGGAAGGGAAGGTGGGGGAAGGAAAGGAAAGGAACAGTTACTGATTTTCTCATTACTTTGTATTATACTACTGTTACGCAAGTTCTACTGTTCTACTATTGCTCTTTGGGGGGATGGATGGCTTATAATATATAAATTGTGATTTCCATTGCTTCATGTCAATTTTTACATGACAAAAAATTGCTGTATAAATTATTATTCTTATTCCTTTTCTGAGGTAGTTTTACAGGTGCTAGTAGCAGCTAAATGATATTGTAAACCAATTGTGGCAGACATAGTTAAGTAAGGCAAAGTTCACATTCCAGCTAGGTAGAATTAGACAGTCAAAATGTGGGGTTTTTAAAGCAAAATCTAGGTAACATCTTGGCTAATTCCGTGTCAGCCAGGCACTGATACAGGAAATGAGTCCTGCCGGAATTAAGAGTGGGAAGATAAATAGCAGATGCAAGAACATTTCAGTATTCTCTATCCTTTTGAAGCTAAAAATGGGTTTCTCATTTCTAACTTTATGTGCATTTAAAGACAGATGTTGGTTTAAATGAGCAATATCCATTCATCATATGCAGCTGAAATTCAGTGTTCTCCTAATGGTCTGAAAAGTGAAACAGTGATGGAGAACAACATATTTTTGGGGAAATCTGAGATATTTTGGGGATTTATTAATTTCATGAATGAAAGCAAATATCTTTAATAATAATAATAAAAATAATAATAATAAAGTTGGAAAGGACCTTGGAGGTCATCTAGTCCAACCCCCTGCTCAGGCAGGAAACCCTACACCATTTCGGACAAATGGCTGTCCAGTCTCTTCTTAAAAACTTCCAGTGTTGGAGCATTCACCACTTCTGGAGACAGGTTGTTCCACTGGTTAACTGTTCTAATTGTCAGGAAGTTTCTCCTCAGTTCTAGGTTGCTTCTCTCCTTGATGAGTTTCCACCCGTTGCTTTTTGTCCTGCCTTCAGACTCCCTCTTCTTTGTGGCAGCCCCTGAGATATTGGAACACTGCTATCATGTCTCCCGTTGTCCTTCTCTTCGTTAAACTAGACATACCCAATTCCAGCAACCGTTCCTTATATGTTTTAACCTCCAGTCCCCTAATCCATATTATTATAAAACCCTAATTAGCAATTGTTTCAAGCATTGGTCCATCTATCCTTGACCCTGTTTAGCTCTCTGTGGTTCCCATCACCACCACCAGGTGCTTCTGCTGTGTGTGTCTGTGTATCTGTGTGTTTATTCTTGGGTTCCTCTTATGTTTTAATTCTGCAGATTCACTACCTGTTAATACTGTGAAAAGCTGTTGATTGTTCCCAGCCTCTGTTGCCTGGTGATTGTTGCAAATGCTCTTGTTTATTGTGAGAATTAGATTTATTATGCCCATTCCCTTCACCACCCTTGTTGACTTGATTTGGTGGAAGATCCCCAACAAATATTTCTACACTGCAATTAAATAAGCACCATTAAAGTGAACTTCATTCAGCTCTGTGCTCTTTACTACTTTAAAGCGTAATGCACCAGGATTAATTAACCCAGGTATTTTTGTTCCATCTCTTCTTTGATTGGAAGAATGGAAGAAAATATTAAAAAGAAAAATCTACAAGTTTGAACCTAGATAATTTTATTGCAAAATCATGGTAGAAATGAATTAAAATAGGTTAATTAAATAGAAGGCACACAAATCTCTCCCAGCTGTTTGACTTCTGTAGGCTAAAAGTGGGAAGAACAAGCTAGACCAAACTAACTTAGGGAGCTTCGTTTGCTGAAATTCTTGGGGGGAAAATATTAAATTAAACTTTAATTAAAATGCTGCACATTTTTTTCCCTTTCAAAGAGTTGACAGGTCTGTAAGTATATTCCAACTCTTTTCAGAGGAAACATAGCTACATCTCTCTCTCTCTCTCTCTCTCTCTCTCTCTCTCTCTCTCTCTCTCTCTCTCTCTCTCTGTGTGTGTGTGTGTGTGTGTGTGTGTGTGTGTCTGTGTCTGTGTGTGTGTGTGTGTGTCTGTGTCCCTTGCTTTGGGAAAAGTAGCTGTTTTTCCCCCAAAGTTCATTTCAGTTTATCCCAGAAATTATGTCTGGGATAATGTTTCTCTTCTGGGGGAAAAATAACCGAAAAAGCTTTTGGTATGTCTTCTACATTTTACAACCTGGCATTGTCTTAATCAGATTGTTTGATTTGTTTCTTTTGTTTGTTCATAAAATGCTCAAGTTATTCTGGGATCCTTTCATCTTCCTTCCTTCCACCATCATTATCTATCAACATTTATTGGCTGCAAAATAAGTTGATTAAGGTATGCACTTGGAAATCAGGTGAAGCCCTGGTCCAGCAAGGATTTTAAGGTGTTGGATGAGTGCTTTGAACCACTATAGAATGAATGAATGAATAATGAATGAATGAATGAATGAATGAATGAATGAATGAATGAGAAACAAGATAATTCATGCTGGTTTTGGTTTGAGGGTCACAGGCACTGAAAGCATTGGTGGCTCATTCCTAGCCTTGATAGTTTTGCATTCATACTTCATTTCTTTGAGGGGAAGTTGTATGCATTGAATAGGATCTTTTGGAAGTATGTAGATTAGAAAGAACAAATCAGGTGGAAAAGCATGAATAGTGCTATTGTTCAGATCATCCTAGGAACGTCTTGTAAGCAAGTCATCAAGACTAATGTTTATTACAGGTATTGCCAAGTTAAACTATTATTCAAGAGGGAAAGATAGTAGTATAATACTATTTAAAAGAGGTTTAGCCCAAATTTTATGTGATTGCTTGAAGAAAATATGTTTCTTTTCTACCAAATTTAATATCTACAAGTCTTTGTGAAGAAGAAGAAGAAGAAGAAGAAGAAGAAGAAGAAGAAGAAGAAGAAGAAGAAGAAGAAGAAGAAGAAGAAGAAGAAGAAGAAGAAGAAGAAGAAGAAGAAGAAGAAGAAGAAGAAAGGATATTTTGTGGTACATACTTATGAAAGGGATTGCGAAAATAGAAAAAAAAAATCTCAGATTATCCAGATGTTCATGGATTTATCATTGTTATCAAACATTTCAGATAGTGGGTGTTTTTAGGTGTACCAAGCTGTTAGTGACCTTGGGCCAATCTCTCTCTCTCTCTCTCTCAGTCCAACTTGCCTCACAGGGTTGTTGGAGGTAAGAGGAGGTAGAGTGTTGAAAATAAGAGGAGGAAGACAAAATAATAAAGGTGGGATAAAAATCAAATAAATCAAATAGACACTACTCAGTTTACAGTGTTAGTTGGAGTATGGTTGTCATCGCAGTTCTATACTTGTCTGGAATGTGCAGTGCAAGTTTGCTTTCTAATGTATAAACATTTCTAGAAAAAAAAGTGTCTAAACAACCAGTTCTCTTATTCGATGCAGGCCTGGGCCTCCAAGGCCTAGAACGGACTTCCCGAAGTGGCATCCATGAACTTCCGGCTGGTTGTTCTAGGCCTGGGAGGCGTCCAAGGCCTAGACTGGACTTCTGAAAGCCAGCCATTTCTCCAAATGCAGCAAAATTGAGCTACTGGTTCTACCTAACCAGTGTGAACTGGCTGAATCCCACCACTGGTGTATATTGTGTTTCCCCGGAAAATAAGCTCTAGCATGATTTTTTTTCAGGATGCTCGTAATATAAGCCCCACCCCCAAAATAAGCCCAGTTAAGATCATCAGCCAGACAGACGCATTTAGTACCGTATTTTCCCCCAAATAAGACCTAATTTGGAAAATAAACCCTAATGCGTCTTTTGGAGCAAAAAAAAAATATAATATTTTCATGGGAAACATGGTATTTGTCATTATTGTATATTTGTCATAGCAAAGAAGAGATGAACAATGGTGCATGTTTGCTAAGAATCCAAATAATATGAGATGTGCTTTAATGAGAAGCCAAAGCTGGAGCACCTGATTATGCATTGTAGAGCTTTTTCATGGGTTCTAACTGCACTTTAAGAGTATTGTTTCTTGTCCTATTAATTCTTCTGGAAGAAAGAGCAAGTCCCATTAACATGATTTGTTGTAAATGTCCATTGTCAACTGAAGGTACCAAAGCTATGCTGTTCTCTTGGAAAAAAAAACAAACAAACACACACAAGTGAGCAAAAAGAAAATGCAAAGATACTTTGTGATTGATTTAAGTCTTCACGGGTTATTGCCACTTCACTGGATTGCCAAGATCTTTGCTCTCAGTGAGAATTAAATCTTGAAAACTACACTATGTGTCCTAGTCTCTTGAACTAGGCATCATAATTAACTATTTTTTTTTTCAGTGCTTCCAACAATTTCTTTTGACATGGATTTGATTGTGGTGGTATGTTTGTGACAACTCTTAGCCACTCTTGAAAACTTAAGCAGGGTTGAAGTGTTTAGTACTAGTTTGTCCGTTATAAGGTGTCTAGCTTGAGAGAAATGGCAAATCAATTCCATTTTGTTGCCATGAAAATATCACAGATCAGTCCAAAAAGTCATCAGTGGAGATTCTCAGTCATCCAGGTCATGGTTGTCTCAAAGATGCTTTTCAAAAGATAACTGGACTTCCTTTGTTTTTTTCCTTGAAAACATTTTGCTTCTCATCCATGAAGCTTCTTCAATTCTGACATAACTGAAGAAGCTTCTTGGATAAGAAATGTTTTCAAGAAAAAAAAAAGAACTCCCCCATAATTGGAAGCAACTTTTAAATGGAAGATGGATACATTTCCTCAGGCAGTATTTAAAACTGATGGAACAAAACAATGTTAATGATGAGGATGATTTAATTTGTATTACTCACCTCCTTTTGATTTTTTTTTTTTTTTGAAAATTATTAATGCTTGGGCTAGGATAGTGGTTTAACACTTTGAGTTTGGGGTTCTATCATTCAATCAGCTGTATTCTTTTTCTTTAATGTATGTTGTTTTATGCTAAATTTCTTTTACATTTTCATAAATTTTAAGCCGCTATAATTCAGGAATAGCCTAAAAATTGAATGTATGTATGAATGCATGAATGAATAAATGAATGCATGAATGAATACATACACTGAAAATCATTATGTATACTCTAGTCTATCTTTTCCATGTAATATAAAATAAAGCAGGATTTTTCATAGAAAGTGGTAAATTAATGGGAAGCTTATTAAGAGCCGTGGTGGTGCAGTGGTTAGAATGCAGCATTGCAGGCTAATTCTGCCGACTGCTAGCAGTTCAATTCTCATTGGCTCAAGATTGACTCAGCCTTCCATCTTTCCAAGGTTAATAAAATGGGGACTCAGATTGTTGGGGACAAAATGCTGACTCTGTAAATCACTTAGAGCAGTGTTTCTCAACCTTGACCATTTTAAGGCATGTGGACTTCAACTCCCAGATTTCCAATGCTGGCTGTGGAATTCTGGGAGTTGAAGTTCACATGCCTTAAAATGATCAAGGTTGAGAAACACTGACTTAGAGAGAGCTGTAAGGCACTATGAAGTGATATATCAGTCTAAGTGCTACTGCTATTGCTCTTATAATAGGAAATACCTAGAGAAGAATAATGCTATACGTTATGCCTCTAAACAAAACAGATTTGTGGCAGTTTCATGATTTGCTGCAGTATAGTTGTAGGATTTGCCATTGCTTGCTTCCTGGGGCTGTGAAAGAATGACTGGCCCAACTGGCTTTCTTGCCTAAGGCAGGACTAGAATTCACACTCTTGTTTTCTAGCCTGGTGCCTTAATCACTATAACAGATTGGCTGACTTTTGTTTATCAGATTGCCTACTTTCTATTGCAGTCTGTTCTGTTCTTGTTTGGAGAAATCTGAACTTTGTAAGTTGGGTCTATTGTTGTGTGCATTTCTGCAAAAGATGGTTCAACATCGTTAATTTTTTTCTCTCCCTCACCCAGAACAGATAAATACATTTATGTGTTTCTGTTATTCTTCATCATGGGAAAAATATTTTCTTAATACCTAATACAGTGCTCATAAGTGTTAAAAAATTAAACTTCATAGTTTGATGATTTCATTTCAGTTAAATAATCGAAGCATAGCCAATTTTACTCTCCTTCAGTCTGAAAAAAAAAATGTTCCCCTTCACAGTCACTAACCCATGGAATTAGATTTGGCCAGGGGATGGAAAGAATGCTAGTTTATTTTCTCTTACGGTTTCTTCCATTCTTCAGAAAACAAAACAAGCTTCTGATTTTGATGGAGGCCAAAGGATTAGATCTGCTTTGCAATTTGTTTGCTCTGCACCCAGGGAAATGTTAAATACTTGAAATTGTACAATGTTCTCTGGATTCCATAAACAGAAAATGAACTCTTGTGTTCAGACTCTTTGTGTTCAGGCTGGCTGTTACAGAGAAGGTTCTCGCTGTTTCTGGGGTGAGGAAGTTCTTCTAATTAGCTGATTTCAGTTCATTCAGTATTAAATAATTCCCAGAATTCCAGTGTGGCTGTATATTAGATTCACTAAAGGGAGAGATACTTCTCCAAAAAGCAATTGAAGAGCTCCCTTGAAAAGATTATACTGTTGGACCGAATCCATTAATGCTTACCTTTCACGTGAATTCAGGCAGCACTCATTCCAGTAAATGCTATGAACACAGATGGTAATCTAGGGACCATTAGCTACCATATGGGGATCAGTGATAAATCAGTGTAAATGATTCAGAAAGCAAGTCCTACTGACTGCACTCTGTTATGGCTGTGCTGGTTCAGAAGAAGAAACTATAACTTGTGAGATTGCAGGAGGACAAATTCTATTTCTCCATGGTTACACCAGCCCACCTCTCTAGACTGGGCAGAGCAGGCATGTTGAAGGTACCATCAGCCACAGATCTTCATTTGATGGTCCCAGGTGACATGCCTTCTCTACGGCAACACTTGCTTTATGGAACAGTCTTCCATCCAAAATTAGACTAGATCCATCCTTTAGATATTCCAAAAAACCCTCCTCAAGTCTTGGCTGTATGTTCAGGCCTGGGTCTCCCAGTCAATTGTGGACTGGCTTAGATGGCTCTATTGTTGAGGTGGCCATTTTTATCCACTACTCTTTGGTTTCTATTCTCACTTTTTATTAGTGCAAGAGCTGCCATTAACTTCTCAGAAAATTTCAGAATGTAAGAACAGCCTTGTTGGATCAGACCAGTGATAGGATTCAGCTGGTTCGCACTACTTCAGCAGAACTGGTAGCTAATTTTTTGTTTCCCAGGCCCAGATTGGACTTCCAGAAACAGCATCCAGAGAACCAGTTGTTCATGTATTTGAATCCCACCACTGGATCAAACCATGGTTCACTCTTAGTCCTTAGCTTGTTTCTCACAGAGGTCTCCCAAACGAAGGGGAGATACATGCCCACCTCCCATTATTGTTTCCTAGCTACAGATGGGGGACTTGTGACCATCTAATCATTAATCCTGGTTATTGGTCATGTTGTAGGTAATGGAAGTTGGAGTCCAATAAGCTAGTTTCTTCTTATTCCCTTCACTTAGTCTCTTCTTCTAAGTGTAATAGGTTTCCTCTCACATATCTAAGTTTAAAAATAAATAATGGTTTATTTCTCCTTGCAAAAAGCTGCTGCACTGGGGTTGAATCTAATTGTTCATTGTTCTCTCTTACTCTTTCTCTTCCCCATCCTGACAGTTCAGTTAGATTTACAGGATTGGTTTCCTCAGAACATTAAAATGTATTGCAATTTATTCAAAGTAATATATAAATCACAAAACTTAAGGGATTGGGGCGATGGTTGTGGGTTTTTTTTAAACTGATTTATTTGCTTAACATTTAACAAAAGGAAAACATCTATAAGGAATGGTTCTAAATTTAGACCTGAAATAGAGAAGGAGTTCTTATCAGTTATTTTATAACGTAATATCAGCTTGCATTCTGTTACCCATTAGGTTTGTTCTGGGTCAGATCAGAAGTGCTTTCAAACTCAGTAAGTCATAGTGGAAAGAGACAATTTGCAAGAGGATATATTGCTGAGCTATAATTATCTTATTCTTTTTTTCTCTTTTGCAGCCATAACACATTACTCTTAGCACCCGCAGACAATAAATAAATAAAAATCTCATTGCAATTCTATCACTTAAAATTAGAGTTTGCTTTCATTTTGCCTGAAAGGGACCATTTAGCTTCAGAATAGAGATAAGGAAATAATATCAAATTGATAAGGGAAAAAAAGAAAACAGATGGAGGCTGAGTCCAACAAATGGATTTTCTCACAAAATGTTGCAGTGTGGAATATGCCTTTCAGAGATTCAGTCAAGCATGCCGTCTTTCAATGGATTCTGTCCGGTCCCCATTTTATGATCCCATTGATTAGTTGGGATTCCAGAATTGCTAAGCACATTGTGTTATCCTTACAAGGTTCTCATGTTTTGTTTAAAAAGAAGAACAAGTTAAAAATCAGGAGAAGTCTAGCAGAACCTACGCAAATTTATATATTTCATTAAAAGTCAAACACTTTCATAATCTACAGCTCACTTCATCAGATCTGTGGAGTAGGTAAACTGACCTAGCAATTAGAAGAGGTGGGGAAAAGTGGGGGAGACAGGATGGCTGTGAAGATGTAGGTGACATGTGAAACAGATTACAGGTATTTGTGTAATCCATTTGTTAAAATCCATTATGTTTGTTGAGATCTTTCAAGATAGGCAAAAATGTTGAATGTATGTGTTAGCAGTCTCTCACTCAATTGTCCAATCAACCTTGAGATTTGTAATAGAGTGTCCTGGGAGCTTCAAATGCTCTCATATTTTGCAGGCTATCTATGGGGTCATCTCCCCTAACATTATCTGATTTTCCTAGGGTGGCATTTTCCAGGTCCCTTCCTTCAAATGTAGACACCTTGTAGGAGAAGAACAGGTGGAGTTGAGGGGTGGAATTAAGCATGTTAACCAGCCTAGAATCATTACATTGCCACAAATGGTCTAAGCCCAACCCCTCTTGAATTCCTTTGATCTTTATATGTTATATTATATAGTATAAATAATAAATAAATAGTCCATGTTTTGAGTCATGATTTCAAACTTGTAGCCATTAATTGTTTTACATAAAATATGATCTGTTTGTTCTATGTAAAATCTAGAAGGGCATTATTGATAGATGTTCCTGTGCATCGTATTAACAGCAGTCCATGTGAAGTTGCCCCTGATTTTGCATATGCAATTGTTGGGGATGTGTGATGGTGTTGTTTTTGTAAATGCAGGGGCAAAGTAGACATTTCAGTTAGTTGTAGGAACTGGTCCTGTTGTTTCTAGAACTTATCAGGATATCCTTTGGGGTTTTTTTTAGCAGTTCTGGAATCTATTGGCACTTTATGTACTGTGTGGATAGTATACATTGGCTATGTATGGTTCAGCTCATATCAGTCTTCCCAAATGGTTGCAAAATCCACTGCAGCAATACTGGTTAAGGAATTCTGAAAGTTATAGTCTTTGTACATCTGGAAAATGTCTGATTGTGGAAGGATGGTATATAGGATGAATTTTGTCTGACATACAGTATATACCATTTTCTTTACTTACCGAATTCTCAATGTTTTTCTCTGTTTTGTTTGTGTGCTGTTCATGGTTACAGCCCTGAGATTTTGTTACATTTTTTTAAAGGCATTAATTATACAACTGAGCAAATATAAATGGAACATAGGCATGAAGATAAATATTGTATGTAATGAGTGTGTGTGTTAAAATAATTTGATTTTGTGTTTCTTTCCTTTTCAACATTTCTTATGTATCCAATGTGAAGCCTTCAGCTGGAAGGAAGTGAAATCCTTCTAGGTCCAGAAGTGACTTGTGGACCTATAGAACTGATGGTCTCTACTCCATTTGCCTTGACAATCCCACATTGTGCAGATGTGAACTCTGAGCATTGGAATATTCATTTGAAAAAAAGAAAGCATCTAGGCAAATGGGAGGTAAGCAAAATTACTGTCAGAAATAGATGAAGCTGATAAAAATTAGAAGAGTTGAAGACCATTGCTAAGATGTTAGTGATACTTAACAGTGAAAGCAAGAATATTCACCCATGTATTTGGAGGCTAGAGTCAACCTTGAGATAGACAGTATATAAACATAATTGGATAGATAGAAAGATAGATGATAGGAAGAGAGAGACACAGAGAGAGAGGGAGACAGAGAGAAAGAGAGAGAGAGAAGAGAAGAGAAGAGAAGAGAAGAGAAGAGAAGAGAAGAGAAGAGAAGAGAAGAGGAGAGAGATTTTAGTTTGGGAGTTTCCATTTCCAAATATAACCTTAGAATAGTTTGCTCTGATGACTAAACAGTCTTCAATGTAAACACTTATTTATCAGTATTTTCATCAACACATATCAAGATTTGGCGAGCAGGCTATTCAAGACCATATGCAACCCCCAACTTCCTGTTTGAGGGATCCTAAAAATTCCTCTAATTGCAATTACCCATGATAAACAACATAGTGCTGTGACATGTTATCGAAACAGAAGTATAGAGATAGGAAAAGAGCAGGTAGAGCTGGGAAGTGCAGAGTTAAGCGAGTCATCAGTCTAGAGTCATTACATTGCCACAAACGATCCAAGCCCAAGCCCCTTAAATTCCACTGATCCTTATTTGGTGCCAATTTAGTTTTAGTTGACTGAATTCTTGTGTACAGGCTTGAGCAATAAATCTTCTGAACTGGAACATGTGTGTAAGATCCTGATCCTTCATGCCTGACATTAAACACTAACATTAATTTGAAGGAGTTTAAAACTAAATAGACATCACAAACCCCCAACTCGGAGAAAAGGGAAAAACTCTAACTCAACCAAGTGCAGTTCTTTACCTGCAAATACTTTTTTCGGAACCCCTGACCAAGAAAATAGTCTACCTATAGTGTATAGAGTAAGTCTGTTCCAAGTTATTATTTTTCTCCATACAAAAACAAAACAAAACAAAACCTGCAAGCAGAAGTTGTATGGAACCTGTTTTAATGTAATTCATTTTCTGTCAAGTCACTTTTGCTTTTCTTCTTTCTGGGCTTAATGTTCTGATGCATCCAGGAAGTGATGTCTGTAGAGGAAGAAACCACTTCTTGTTACTGCCTCTTGGACCCATATGCTTGTCATATCCTTTTGGACTCCTTTGGAACTTATGCTCTCTTTGGAGAGCCACTCTCTGATTGTTCTGTTAAAGAACTGAAAGTAGCCGTCTTTGGCTGTATGTCCTGCAACTCTCTGGATTACAGCCTAAGAGTGTACTGTGTTGACAACACTCCCTGGGCGTTTCAGGTAAGATGGCCAAACCATTCTTGGCCTTTCCAGATGTTTAACGTAAGGTGGGCAATTAACTTTCCCAAAGGGCCACATAAGGAATTGAGACTGTTGTGGAGGGCCAAACCAGTGGTGGGATTCAAATATGTGAACAACTGGCTCTCTATGTGGATGCCGCTTTGGGAAGTCCATTCAGAGTTTGGGCAACAAAAAATTAGCTACCGGTTCTGCCGAACTGATGCAAACTGTCTGAATCCTACCACTGAGCCAAACCAATGTAACCTGATACGATGTCCTCAAATTTCATCAACTCAACTCCTCAGGCTGCTCCAGGTGAGGGACGAGCACTGCGTAGGCATCTCATCCTCTTTGGCCACCTGGCTGAAGGAGCACATGGTAACTGCACAGAGACAGACCTGAATCAGCCTTCTGCCCTTTTGCAGCATGTTTATTTATATTTGATTTCTAATTTCCAATTGTCCTCACATGAGCTGGACAGGGACAATCAAAGGGCCAGATGTATTCCAGGGGCTGTAAAATGCACAGGGTTTTTTTGGGGGGGGGGTAAGGGGGTATGCTCTATCCAGAATGCACTGGAGTTGGGTGGCTATAGTAAATTTAAATAATAAACAAACAATAACAATAAAATGTGCTTGCATTTCTTTTCTGTGCCCAGAGATACAGGGAAAGGGAGCGGAATTGTGCAGACATTCTAGAGTGCAGAGAAGGTTTAAATCAGTGGTTCTCAACCTGTGGGTCGGGACCCCATTTGGGGTTGAACGACCATTTCACGGGGGTCGCCAAACAACGCAGTCCACCATTTTTTCCCCCTTTTCCTTAGCTGTGCTACTCCCTTTTATTCTATTGACTTTTGAAAGCCAGTAGAATAGACTCTCTTGAATAGAGTCTAATTCTATTGGCTTTCAAAAGCCAATAGGAATTGTCCAGGCTGTCTCTGCCCTGCTGAGCCCGCCAAAAGTCCCATTCTGCAAACGGTGCTGCACCAGTTGAGTAGTCCTCGACTTACGACCAGTTGAGTAGTCCTCGACTTACGACCGGTTGGGGGTCGCGGCATTAAAAAGGTTGAGAACCACTGGTTTAAATAGTCTGTCAAGACAAGCCCAGTTGTAAGGACCAATTACAAGCAATAGTTAAAATCTAACTTTGCCCTCTGAAACAAAAATAAAATAAAGGTGCCAGCCAGATAGTAAAGATCGGGGATGCAGAAAACTGTATATGGCTGGCTCTTTTCTTCTCAAAGTCTGCCTGAAACCTCAGGGGGCTTATTCAGAACAAAAGAAGCTTGATGCAATATGTTAAGTGTGTCCTCCACACCTGGTCATATGCCATAAAAGATGGCCTGCCAGATCTTTTCCCTTTTTCTTTTTTTTTTTTTCCACAAAGAAGTGGAAGGATTACAGAAAGTTCCAGATAACTGAACACGATGTGGAGCTCGGTCCTAACAGACATTTCTCCCAGCAAGAAGCTTTTTCCCTGGGTAAATGGAGGGATTCAGAGCCAGATGTAGTTCTAGCCGAGCAAACGCGATGCAGTCCAGTGCACGGTTTTCATATTTTAATTCTGGTGTTGTTGTGGTTTTTTTTTCCCAAGCTCTTGCTTACAGCTCTTCTGTATTCGATCAGGAGTAATGAGCTCTGAGTATTCGACGAGGCATCTGGATGCCAAAAGCTTGGAATGATTCATGCACAAAATAAAGAGACTGCTAAACAATAGAATCCATAGAATTTCCAAGCTTGAAAAGAAAGAAAAACCTAGCAGACATTCTCCAAGTTCCCAATTGGCAAAGTCCTTAGAAACATCCACAAGCTGCAGAAAGCAAATATTTGATAATCTATCTCCAGTAGTTTCCTTACCCAGGGAAGACAATGCACTGAAGAATTAAACATCAAACGATCTCACGAAATTAAATCCATACAATAATGTATGCAATCTTGTTTAACAACTGATTTATTGAAAGCAGAGGCTGAAGTTCTGATCCGGAGAGAATAACCTCCTGGGTCAGATAGATTGGGCAGTCATGCTGTCTTTCGTTCTCTGCAGATGGAATGGAACATCTTGCTGTGGTCAACTTGCTGTGGCCAATTCACTGTAGCCAACTCGCCATGGCCAACTCACTGTGAGACAACTCGCCGTGGAGCAACTTGCTGTGGGACAGCTCAACAATTCCAATTGAATTATTTAAAATAATTTAAAAAGAATATTTTAATTTTTGTCATTCACGTTTCATTTTGTCCCTCCTTTGTCATCTTTTCTTTCATGATTTTATTGGACTATTTCTTTGATATTAGTGTAAATCGTATCTTGCAACAAGTTGTCCCACGGTGAGTTGGCCAAGGTGAATTGACTGCAGCAAGTTGGTTGTGGCAAGATGACCTTGGAGAGTTGGCCATGGAGAGTTGGCGGTGGAGAGTTGGCCATGGAGAGTTGGCGGTGGAGAATTGGCCATGAAGAGTTGGCCATGGAGAGCTGAATTGAGGTTCCCTGCTTTAAGGCCACAAAGCCTCTTTTCTTGCATCCTCTGAAACTGAAATTCTCAAACCTTTGTGATTTAATTTTCTGCTACTTTGAGATGAGATACACACAAAAGCTATACACAACAACTGAAAAAGAGACATAATTTGAAATGAGCAATAGCATCTCTGAAACATCTCTCTCTCTCTCTCTCTCTCTCTCTCTCTCTCTCTCTTCCTCTCCTCTCCTTTCTCCTCTCCTTTCTCTCCTCTCTCTCTCTTCCTCTCCTCTCCTTTCTCCTCTCCTTTCTCTCCTCTCTCTCTCTTGCAGGACATGGATAGTTGGATTGATCCATGGGAGCTTTTCTTTTAGAATAACACCTTAGCAAAATTCTAGTTCTCATCCCATCATCTTCAGCATGGAGGGAAATTTTTCAACATTTAGCCTACAATATATTTGTTTTCTGTTCTCCATTGTTGCAGGATGTGATTTCAGGTGAAAGACACCAGGGAGGACAATTGCTGGAAGAACCAAAACTGCTGCATTTCAAAGGGAATACCTTCAGCCTTCAGATCTCTGTTCTTGATATTCCCCCTTTTCTCTGGAGAATTAAACCATTCACAGCATGTCAGGTATTTGCATAGGAAGACTAATATGTGTGCAGAATGGATGAGTATATTTTCCATTTTTAATAACCAAGCAATTTCAAATCTCCAAGGCATATGACTTTGTGAGGTTCATTGCTTCTCTTAACACAGTCCAGAAAATTCTGGATTAAATGTATAGTAATATGTTGGTTATCTATGGACAAGCCACATTTCCAGAATGATGATGATGATGATGATGATATTATTATTATTAAAAATTTAAGGCTTTTAAACAATGAAATAGATTCTGTACTTTTACCTCTCCCATTTCCAAAATGTCCAAAAAACATTATAAATTTATGAAAGATTTGGGGAACATAGTTTCAGATCATTTTGACTAGAATATTGGGTAGTCTACAGTAAGAACATTTGGAATAAATAAAATATTTATGATCAAGTTCCAGTTCAGTAGAAGTAGAGATTTGGGCATTCAACTGATTAAAATAAAAGATTTTGTCAAATATTATCAGGTCAACCAACAGATGATGTCATCTTGGCTGACCTTGAAAATAAGCTAGGTCAGTTACGGTTAATAATTGGTTAGTGGAGCTGGAACCCTCCAATCCTTTGCTTCAGAATGGGGTCAGGGTGACTGAATGGAGCTGTGCTAGATGGCCTTCCTGATGCCTATGTGGACATTGCAGCAGATGTTTTCTTTTTGCACCCTGATAGAGAAACTTCTGCATTGAACTATCAACTTTCTGAGTGGTAGGTGAGCATTTTCACCTCTAGGTCACTGCTCCACTCGGCTGTAAAATAGATTAAGAAGTTGGGGAAAAAAAAATAATTGAAGTTAATAGTAAACAACTTCTTGACTTTTTTCTAATAATGGCATTCTGCATTTAAGTCCAGTTTTGGCTTGAGGTAGCTTTTAAATTCCTATCATTAAAAGAGCGAAAATAAAACATAATAATTAAGCTGCAAGAGATTTGACACTAAGGGATTAATTATATTTAAAAATTAATACGCTACTGTGAAATAATAACATTCAGTTTTCAAACAGTAGATTGTAACTTTTAACTATATTAGAATAAATCATTAACAACCTGGTTTGGGGGGGTTTATCTTAGGACAGTGCAAAGGAAACTGATTATAAAAAGTAATCTAAAAGATTTTACCTGGCTCAGCATTATCCATGGCTTCTATTTTATATATATTTCCTTCAACAACATAATACTCAGCTTTAACAACTCAGCTTCCCTTTCTCTTCTTTTCCTCCCATCTGCAAAAAAAGATATATTTTTTAAAGAGAAAACTAATTACACTTCCGCTTTATTTATTTATTTATTTATTTATTTATGAGACTTATATACCGCTTTAAGTGCAAGCACTCTCTAAGCGGTGTACACCAGTAAGCAATGTATATATATATTTACATTGCCCCCAACAATCTGGGTCCTCATTTTACCTACCCCGGAAGGATGGAAGGCTGAGTCAACCTTGAGCCAGTGAGATTTGAACCGCTGACCTGCTGAACACAGTCAGCTAAAGTGGCCTGCAGTACTGCATTCTGACTGCTGCGCCACCTCGGCTCTTTATAATGTTTCTATCTTATTTTTTTAGTTACAATTTATAATGTTGCTTTTATTGTTTTCTTTATCACAATTAGTATCTTGGTCTTACTTTCTGAAACAGGTTCTAAACGCAAGGCTTTACTTAAGAGCTATTGTGTGTGTTTGCAGGAGAGGGTGTGTTTTAATGAATCAGTGGTTTGGAAGGAAGCTCATAAGTTATATATTGTTGTTTGCTTCCTTTTGCTGTGTATGCTACAATTGTTTTATTGATGTTTTGTTTTATTTACAATTCCGGAGACTTCCTCTATAATGTCAGAGGAAGAGTTGATTGTGTTGATTTTAGCTTAGCATAGGGCAGTTTGACTTGAAAGGTCCATGAGACGGAAAGAAGCACAACCTTTTTGCGTTGTTTCCTTCATGCAACTTCATGACACAAGTCTTTTCTTCCCCACTTCAGTTAACTTCCACATTCTGGATAGAGAGGACCTTTGGTTTGAAAGAGGGTTTCAAAAGATGAAGAAGAAGACATTTTGTTTCTCATCCAAGAAGCTTCATAGGTTCTAACTGGATTGGGGGGGGGGAATGGAAGGATCATATTTCTTTGCAGTCATCTAGCACTCTCTCTGAGAGCTGTTGAGGCCACTTGGGGATTTATCTGTGTCTTCAAGGTCACCTGAATCAGAGCACAAAGGGGTGTGGAATCTTCTTTGAAGATGGCAAGAGCCATTTATGTTAGAATTGAACAACCCTCCCTCCACAGAGGGGGAGAAATATGACATAACCTATCTCCTGTTTATAGCACAATTCAAAGAAGATTCCACACCCACTTGCACTCTGATTCAAGTGACCCTGAGGGTATGGATGAACTCCCAAGTGGCCTCAACATCTATCAGAGAGAGTGCTAGATCAGGGCTTTTCAACCTTTTTACCCATTGTACCACTTTTAGGATATGGCAACATCCCAGTACCACCAGCAAGGTGTGAAAAACTTGATGACCAAAGAAAAAAAAGTGATAAAGTACAGGTGGTCCTCGACTTACAACAATTCGCTTAGTGACTGTTTGAAGTTACAATGGCACTGAAAAAAGTGCCTCCCAAGCCACAGCCGAGCAAGACACCTGCCTGCCCGCTCGGTGGCACTCTTCCTCCTGTCTGAGGTTTTCATTGTTGTGAGCATTTCTGTTGAGGATTGGCAGCAGGGGTGGGGTGGGGGGTGTTTGGTTTTTATTCCCCCCGTCTGTTGGGTGGTTGCAGCAAGTTTTGGTCAATTCACATGACCCTGGGACACTGACCATCATAAATATGAATCAGTTGCCAAGCATCTGAATGTAAATCACAAGACCCTGGAGATGTTGCAACATTCCAGCTGATCGGTGCTTCTTCTGGGCTCAGCAGAAGCATCAGGATCCGTGCCGCTTTCCAGCTGATTGGTGCTTCTTCAGGGCTCATCAGAAGCACCAGGATCAGCGCCAAGCTCCAGCTGGAAAGCGGCACTGATCCTGGTGCTTCTGCTGAGCCCTGACAGCCCTGCAGCTCCAGCCATCTCTCTCTCAGACTTGTGCGGTGCTGCCACCGGTTCAGCTCATTCCCCTCCCCTGCTACCACTTTTCTAGGATGGTCGCGTACCACCTGCCAGCTGCCAATGTACCACAGGTGGTACCCGTGCCACTGGTTGAAAAGCCCTTTGCTAGATGACTGCAAAGAAGTATGATCCTTCCATTCCTCCCCTCAACCTATCAGAACTATCCCTTCCATCCCTCTCACCATCCAATCAGAACTGATGTAGCTTCTTGGATAGAAACAAAATGTCTTCTTCCTCAAGGAAAAACTTAAGCCAATTGTCTTTCGAAAAAGCACCTTTGAGACAACCATGAACTGGATGATTGAGAATCTCCATAGACAGGTACTGAAGTTGGGAGGGAGCCAAAATGGTATAGTAGGTTAAGGTGTTGGACTAGGAGTTGAAAGTCTGGGCTTCTTTTCTCCCTTACATACATCTCTGTTACTTTAGGCCACTCTCCCAGCATAGACTGGAAAGCTGAAAGCCATCTATCTACCAACCCACACTGATCCAGATTGGTAGATTACAGTCCACAATGTTCAGTGAAGAGTTTTTCATCGTAGCGGATTGATTGATAATGATGTTATTGATTCAAGATGGATAGTTTGGCACCTGAACCAACCAAGACCCTGGGATCTTTATCATTAAAACCTTCTTTTATCAAGTTTCCATTATTTGTTATTTCGTGCCCATGCGATTTAATGTGTCAGTTATGACCTGTCTGTCTTCCTGCTTGACTGACTTTAACATGAAAAATCTGGCATGCTATGAAGAAAACAGTTAGTTCCAACATTGATTTAAAGAATGTCTCAAGGATCCACATAGCTTACAGAAGTCAATTTGGGTGGCGAGGGGAATATAGTGAGCAGTTTCATCCCAGTGCTTCATTGGAAAAGGGATCTATCTTCCTTGGGAAAAAGCAGCAAAATAAGTTGAGGGATGTTCAACCTTAGCAACTTCAATTCCCAGAATTCCCTAGCCAGCCTTGGTAAAAGTTGCCAAGATTGGACATCCCTAGTGTAGAGCAGCGGCCCCAACCTTTTGGGCACTTGGGACCGGTTTCGTGGAGAGAGGTTTTTCCGTGGACCGAAGAGGGTGTGGTTTCGCATGCTGCCTGCATTCCCTCGGATGGGGCTTCGCTTGTTTGTGCAGCCTGGTTTCTGGCATGCCACAGCCCAGTGCCAGTCCACACACCGGAGGTTGGGGACCCCTGGTATAGAGCATCTGGGAAAAGACAGGATAAAGAGGACAGATTGAGAAGCATTTCCTCAGCCTTCTTTCTCATCATTCATGCTTGTCAACCAGGCACTGCATTATGTCTACCAATAAGGGATTTTTCAAGACCTACAATAGTGGCTCGTTGGTAAAAGTATACAGAGCAATGCTCTTAAATTGCCTACTGTATTATAGTTTAAAAATTCAAAACCCACCACTCACTTAAACTACGGTAGCTTCCTAATACCTTGCCTTGTTTAGCCATCCTTATCCACAGGTAATCTCTTATTCCTTCAAAGCAAATGTTTATTGCAAAGCCTCTTGGTTTAGCACTTATCATTATGGTTTGTTGCCCAGTCAGACAGATGTTCAGATGGAATTGACATTTTTATTCACCTATCGAGTCCTTCTCAAGGATCTGAGATAGGCAGATGCTGAAGATTGATGGTGTCATTGCAGGATGTAAGCGGTTCTGAGTAAAACTGCCTTTTGCAATTGACTGATGGCGAATTTGTCAATGCCGATGGTGTTCAAGTGGTGCTCCAGTTATTTTGGGATTGCACCCAAGATGCCTATTACTATTGTTACTACTTTTGCTGTCTTTTGCCACAGTTGTTGTATTTCTACTTGCGTGCCTTTGCATTTTGTTATCTTCTCCAGTTCTTTCTCTGCATTAATCTTTTGTTTGGTCAGTTTTCAAGCCACTTCCATCCTGTCCCTTCTTTTCTAGGAAGTTCCTTTTTCTCGTGTGTGGCGCAACAACAAGCAGCCACTTCACTGTGCCTTTTCCCTGGAGCGCTACACTCCTGCCACCACACAACTCTCATGCAAAATCTGTGTCAGACAAGTCAAAGGCCATGAACAGATCCTACAGATCCAGACATCAATTCTAGAGGCAAGTTCTTCCTTCCATAGTCATATCACTATCCTCCTTGGATGCTTTGTTTGTGCAAAAAGTGTTCACAGAGTATGATTATATGTATATTTATATGAGTTGCATGGGTAATGCACCTAAAAATCAGGCAGGCTTTCAATTGCACTGTTGTGGTTGCCAACTTCTTTGAATATATGTATGGTAATATATACCTGAGTTTTAGGTGCATCACCCACACATCTCATATAAAAGTCTGAAGCAAAAGTTGAACAATTTATCATTAATATGAATAAAGGACTGTGTGATTCTTGGAAAGTTGTTAGCAAGGAAGAACTAAATTGAGTGATAAACTAATTAATCAGACAGATGTGAGAACAGGCATAGGCAAAAGAAGAATATGAATTGCTAATCAGGAAACACACAATTCTATTCCCCGTTGTCCACCCAACACCCCTAAAAAGAAGTTAACAAATCTTTGGCTATTTATGGAGTGAAGTACTCAGATAAGCAAGAGGAAGAATCATTTTATAAATATGCGAATTACATTTTCATCATAATCAGATTAATTTGCTTTCTGGGAGGGAACAATAATTTGGCAGTCCTGATTACAGGTGAAAGAAAGCTACATTGCAAGATGTGATACACTATCTATTAAAAAAAGGATGTTGATATTACAAATGGCTTTAAAAAAAAAAGGATAATCATAACTGGGCTGTAAACATCCAGAAGGCCACTAGATAGTAGCCAAGTATTAAAATTTACTATATTTGTTTTCTGACATCTAGTGGTTCTTTTGAATTTTTGCAGCCCAGTGATGGTAGCCCTATTTTAATTCTTATTTTCAAAATACAAATACAAGACAAAGTGAATTCAGAAATATATGGGGGGAAATGAGCTCAGTCCTTCCATTTATCACCGTGAGTGCATTTCATTGGTTTGTTTGTTTGATAAAGCAGGTAGCAGAAACTTATCTTCAAGGAGCAGAGTACCAAATCTGTTGCATATTTAATTTAAAACAATCTGGAAATATGATGTACTCGCAGCTTTCCTATTGCTTTGCATTGCTGTTTTTTGAGATGAGCCATAAATGTTATATGAAAAGACTTGTAGAAATATTCCCATGAAATATTTAGCCTACCCTAGCACCAAGACATTGCAGATAAAGAGCAAAATATCCCGATACAGAAAATATGGAGAAAGTGATATGGGGGAAACATATAGAAGTATGTGTGTGTGGGGGGTAGTTTGTTACCCATATAGCTTATGGTCTCAAGTATTTCATGGGAAAATGAAAAAAAAAAGCTGGGAAACAGGCAAATAATGAATTAGAGCAGTGATGGCGAACCTTTTAGAGACCGAGTGCCCCAAAACAGCCCCGCTCCCATTCCACCCCCTGCTCCGCCCCTGCTCCGCCCCATCCCATCCCCTACCCCACCTGCCTGCAGGGCCACTCACCGCCTCCAGGACCCACTGCAGATCACCCAGGCAGCCCAGCAGCACCATGGCGGCCATGCCCTCTGCCCGCGCCCCGCAGCATCAACTGGATGGGGCATGAGGGCAGAGTCTTGTCTACACTGCCTGGCTGCCATGTCCTTGGCTGTGCTGCTCCGCGTGGGCCACGCTCGGGGGAGACTCTCCTCCAGGGGGGCTGCTGGTGAAGAGGGGGTCACAGGGGAGGCAAGGCTGGGGCAACGGCACGTGTGCCCATAGAGAGGGCTCCAAATGCCGCCTCTGGCATGCGTGCCACAGGTTCGCCACCACTGAACTAGAGACGTAGAAAACTGCTTTAAATCACATCCTCTTGCAAAAGACGACTATAGATCTGTGCTAGCAGGTCTGCTTTTGCTTGAAGAAAATACCATAGCCAATCCCTTCAAGTCAAGGTATGAGTAGAAAAAAAAAAAATAAAACCTAGTAAAAATCAAGAGTACTCAACAAAATGCAGCAAGAATTGGATTTATTTACTTACCTACTTATTTATTTATTTATTTATATGGTAAGTCAACCAAATGCATTCTTTTTTCCCCACAGTGAAAATAAGGGGGTGGACCATTTTTCATTGCAGAGCCTGGGAAATTCATACCTTTATTTATTTATTTATTTATTTATTTATTTATTTCCATGCAGAATGAAAGAGGAACAATCACTTTTTTTTCGCACGATGACAACTTTCCTGTTCAGATGGGCCCACAAGCCTTTAAGATACCTTACTCTATCAGGCAGAGAATATGTGCAACTTTTGACACTCCCAGTGCCAAAGGCAAAGACTGGCAAATGTTAGCACAAAAAAATAGCATCAACAGGTAAGCCAAAGCAATTGCAAAAAGCCATCAAATAACGGTTAAAGTAGTGCAGGAATGTTCTAAATCAAAGGTGGGGAACTATGATCCCTTTATGACTTGTGGACTTCAACTCCCAGAATTTCTAAGCCAGCATGGAATGGCTCAGGAATTCTGGGAATTGAGGTCTACAAGTCATAAAAGGGCCACCCATTTTTTAAAGGGGTGGGGCTTAGATTGCATGGTTTTGAGTCCCATGTTGACTTTTCTTAACCCCCTTACATACATCCCTGAATTAGTGGCAGTATTCAGGGTTCCCAAATCCCTTCTTTCATATATGAAAGTAGCAAAAAAACTAACTTAGCAATGGAAATGTTGAGCTCAATTGGACTACTTAATGGTTGCAAGAATTGGTATGGCTGGTTTAATGAAGAGAAGGACAAGGGGGGACATGATAGCAGTGTTCCAATATCTCGGGGTGGCCACAAAGAAGAGGGAGTCAAGCTATTCTCCAAAGTGCCTGAAGGCAGGACAAGAAACAACGGATGGAAACTCACCAAAGATAGAAGCAATCTAGAACTAAGGAGAAATTTCTTGACAGTGAGAAAAATTAATCAGTGGAACAAAGTTATGGGTGTTCCAACACTGGAAGTTTTTAAGAAGAGATTGGACAACCACTTTTCTGTAATGGTATAGGGTTTCCTGGCTAAGCAGGATGATCTCCAAGGACCCTTCCAACTCTGTTATTCTGTATAATCTGCATTTCCATCTGCAGTTCACACCAATGCATTGAAGACTGTAGCACTATTGTTATCTCAGAAATCACAAGTGTATAATTTGTAATTCTTTTGTTCTGATGAATTGGATTTCCTATTGGGTTTCTACTAATGTTCCATATTTCAGGAATTCAAGGCCAGCATTCATCATCAGCAGAATCACATGCTTAGAATTCCTGGGATGCAGATACACTAGCTTTTATCACTGGCATTTTGTTTTATTTTGCTTTGTTTACTTTTATTTTCGCAGAACATTACCCCTTTTGTTCCATCAAACCACTTAGGCTCCTTGATGAAATGCTTGGATTCTCTCTTAAACTGCCTATTCTTCAATTGAGTTGAAGTTACTTCCTGTTTTTAGTGCACTTGCCTTAATCTAATGCCTAGTTTATTACTGGAAACAAATGGGCAAAATAACACATTCTGAAAAGAGCTGTGCTAATACTTTAATTAAGTAACCCTATTTAGTTTGCAACTGTGGTGTTGGAGAAGACTCATTAGAGACCCTTGGACTGGAAGGAGATCAATTCTGTCAATCCTAAAGGAAATCAACTTTAACTGGTCTTTGGAAGGACAGGTACTGAAGCTGAAGCTCAAATATTTTGGCCACCTAATCAGAAGACAGGACTCTTTGGAAAAGACCACAATGTTGGGAAAGATTGAAGGCAAAAGGAGAAGGGGAGAACAGAGGATAAGATGGTTAGATAATGTCACCAACGCAATGAACATGAATTTGGGCAAACTCTGGGACACAGTGGAGGACAGGAGAGCCTGGTGTGCTGTGGTCCATGAAGAGTCAGGCACAACTTAGTGACTAAATAGCAATTTACTTTGCAGTCCTGTACCCTTGCAACAATATTCCAGAATTTACAAGATTGACAAATTTCTTCTCTGAGATAGCAATAGCAATAACACTTAGAGTTATATACCGCTTCATAGTGCTTTACAGCTCTCTCTAAGTTGTGAGTCAGCATATTGTTCCCAACAATATGGGTGCTAATTTTACTGACCTCGGAAGGATGGAAGGCTGAGTCAGCCTTGAGCCTGTCAGGATCGAACTCCTGGCAGTGAGCAGAGTCAGTCTGCAATACTGCATTCTAACCACCGCACTACTATGGCTCAGATCTAATATCAAATGCTTCCCACTAACATCTAGGACTGGGATTCTCCAGGGGAGGAAATCCTGACTTTGAGAAACTCCCAGAGTGTTAGCAAGGAGGGTATTTGGTTCAAAACAGGAACCAAAAACCTTTCAGGGTCTTCTTTTTTTTTTAAAAAAAATGTAAATGTAAATCCTTCCCATTGTGCTGAAAAAAGCTATGAAAATGCATAGATGAATATGTGCACCTCTGTTTGGCTGCCTTCCTAGAACATACGTATCCAGGTTATTGAATTAACTTATTTTCTGTGTTTCTGTAACATGCTGAAGCAAAAACTAACCAAGCAAGCTTTGTTCAAACACAACTCCATCAGTAGTTAAATAGCCGAAGTTAAAACTAACCAAGCTTTTCATAGTAGGCAAACACAGCTCTTAGCTATATGAGAAGCTAAAGTATTAAGCTAATGTTAACTGTGTTTTGGAAAAACAGATCTGTCTTACAGGCATTTGATACCTTTACAATTCTGATTTTGGTAAAGATTGCTCTGCTACAATGAAAATGACTTTTAGCCAAATAGAATTGGAATGATGTACTGTATAATGAAAGAGATTAAATTGCGATGTTTCATGAAGACTCAAAGTTCCCTAAAAATAATTGAGAAAGATAACAAATGGTAAAGAATATTAGTGCAGAAATGTTGGTGTGCTTTTCAGCAAGAAGGCCAGAGATCTAGTCTCTTGTTCTGCTATCTGGATGCAACCCCCCCCCCAAGAGAAAATATAGAACAAAAAGTGTCGCAATTTTTGTTTGCTTTCTGATTGGGAGTCTCCCTCCAGATCAGAATGGGAAGGAGCATCAGGATAAGGAGATTGATCGCCAATAAGGCTCTCTCTCTCACCTATCACTCTCTCTCTCTGTCTCTCTCTCTCTCTCATCTCTCTATCATCTATCATATTTCTCTCTTTCTTTCTATCATCTGTCATCTATCATCTATGTGTCTATTTATCATCTATCTATCCATCTATCTACCATCTCTCTATCTCTCATTATCTACCATCTATCATCATCTACCATCTATCTATTTATCTATCTATCTATCTATCTATCTATCTATCTATCTATCTATCTATCTATCTATCTATCTTCTATTTATCAATTTAAGTCCTATCACAATCATAGACTCTTGGTGTCTCACGAAACATACAAGACAGTATAAAACATAAACAATGCAATGCTTAGAACCAATGCAATGCTTAGAACCTATGCAAACCCCTAAAAGAAATACATAACATCAAGCCCCAAATGTCTGGTATTTTCACTGCTACACCACTAAACCAAACTTAGTATTAAGCATCAAGCATTTTGCATTCTTATTTGAGGAATCTGTTTACATGAAGGAAAGCTTTGGAATTCCTTTCATTTCACAGCCGCCCATGTCCACCCCCCATGAGGTTTGTATTCATGATCCAGACTTGGTTTTTTTAACAGACTGTCTTTCTTGATGCCATCAAAAGCCAAACTGGGGGGGAAAAAAGAACCAAGAAAAAAACAATTCAGAAGGAATTATAGAATAGGTTTAAAGAATGATGTTGATGTTTGAGAACTTCACCTTAAAACAGTTGAACTAGGTAGAGATAGGTTGAATGAGAGATCTCATATAGGTTCTCCTACTCGAGCAGGGGGCTGGACTAGAAGACCTCCAAGGTCCCTTCTATTCTATTCTATTCTATTCTATTCTATTCTATTCTATTCTATTCTATTCTATTCTATTCTATTCTATTCTATTCCTTCTTCTTCTTCTTCCTTAGCAGTCCCCCATGACTATAAAATCCAAATCCTATACATATAAAATTATAAATAATATAACATAATTTTTTTTAAAAAAAACATATATTTGGTATCATAGCAATGAATGAAGAACAGAACAGAATAGAATAACAAGCACAAGTAAATGTGGCTTTGGTGTAAAAAGACTTGCCTTCAAAAATATGTACATTAAGAGAGTTTGCATTCAAAATATTCATGTGAACCTTTGCTGAATTTATAGTACAGAATTTGTAATACTTTTTTTTTTTTTTTTTGCATTTGTAGAGCCAAGCAGAACTTACAGTTGGCAAGATGAGAAAACTGGCAGATAGTGTTATCTATCCATATTTGTTTCCTTAGGGTCAATGGTCAAGATCATGCTAGGTAAGGGGGGGGGGAGATAGGAATGAAAACCAGGAAGGATTTTGTGTCTCCTCATTCCTTATCAGAAGTCATTAATCTTTGCATCTCACGCAACACAATCTGCAGTTCCAATCGCAACCATGTCCAGAAAGAACATTATCCCACTTTCTCTTTATCTCTGAGAAATGTGACTCCTGTTGTGTCCTCTGTATCTCTGCTGATATTGATGTACAGCATTGGAAACTATGCAAAGTCTACATTTTAGACTATGCATATTGCTTTCTTTTCTCTTTCTACCTGATCACATGCTCTTTTAAAAGGTACACCAAACATGTGCAGTCTTATGTTGAAAGGGCATAGCTTCTGATCGGAACGGCAAGTCTTTTGTTTAATTTTATTTTTTTTAACAATGGAAAAATATTACTGAATATTATTTCAATCATCCTTCCAATCCCATCTGTAAATATAAATCTGCTCCCCTTTACTATGGGTGAGAAACCACACATAAACAGAGAATTCTAAATGTAGATTATGAAGAATTTGCAAAAGAATTCGCAATATGCGAATAATTGATTAAATTATGTATGTATTAATGTATTGACTTGAATTGAAAAGCAAGAATATTTTGGAAATGACAGTGATTCTGATTGAAAATCATTCCACTAGGATGTCTTCAAACCTGGGCAGGTCCTCTGTAAAATATTTACTTTTTGATTAGTTCAACCCTTCAGTCATAAAATTAAGATTGCATTTTGCTAGGAATTATGAGATAAAGTTTCATACCTGTGGGCAGGTAAACTAATTTTTATCTCTAGCATCTCTCTGTTGCAACTGGAAGAGAAGGGAATTTCATATGTAAAAAGAAATGATGAAAACTAGGCAGTTAAGAAATAAACCACCTATGCTTCATTCTACTGTTCACATCAAGCAAAAATATTCCCAACTTGCTCCCACTGTCAGGCACAAGTAACCAGGAACAGAAGTTAAGTTCAGTGCCCTAAAACTTTATTACATGCTGCCTATACACATTAATCTGATCTACTAATGAGAAAGTTAGATACGAATGAATGGAATTCATGGGGGAGGCTGGACTTGAATCTCTTGTGGGAGCACAGCAACTCCAAACATATGATATGTTTGACCCCACCCTCAGGATCAGCTTGCTTATGTCCTACATCCATAACTAATATGCATAAATCAAACAGTAGCTGGATTAGACTGGATTAGATAGCATTTTATCCCAAATTCTATGTTTTGATTGAGGGAAGGCAAAGTTGTGCCTTTCCTTAACATCCACTTAATATGCCAATTTCATGCATGATGCCTTTAGATATCTACAATTTTATTTTAAGAAAATGCAAATCAAAATGCATCCCTGGATCTCAATATTACATATTTTCTAGATTTTATCAGGTTTATTGCTCAATCTGGATTTGGAGTGGGCATATCTATGCATTTTGTTTGTCTTCGGTTTCTTGATTTTCCTTACTGCTAATTCATTTCTATCCATTATTTTATGAAATCAACAAAGTAAAAATATGTTTTGAAAATGAATTATTTATGTTTACACCTGCTAATATACACTTTTTGAATATATGCTTCTTGGCATCAACATTTTCTGCAAGCAAATTTCCCCTACTACACATACTTTTGCTGGAACTTTTTTAATTGCAAGCCACATCCTATATTCTGAAAAGTATCACTTTTATTGCATATATATGTGTTCCAGTTCACATTTATAGAAGTGGGAGAGCACCAAACAATGCCAAGTAGATAGGAATAGTCAGTCAAATGAACTGCTTAATTTGAGCGGTGTTTATTTATTTTCTGTAGGGTAACTGAGCAATTTTCATTTTTATAAGTTTGTCTGTAAGTCAACCTCATAATGGATTTAAAGCATTCTTCCATGCCTTTTGTTCCAAAGTTCCTAAAATCCATTTAGAAAGATACTAGCCAGGATTATTTAGCTCACATTGCTATTCTCATTAAAACAGACAAGGATCACTGCCAATGAAACATACATTCTGGTTTATTTATGTATATCCACTTAAAATTTCAAGATGCCATGATGCGAGTTAGAGCTCAGAAGTGAACAATTTTTATTAAACTCTTCAATGTTTCATATATTATACAAATGCTATCATACGAGTTTGGAATATCCTAAATGATCTATGATAGAGTCAAGAGGATCCATCTCTTCCCCAATCACTCTCTGGCCAATCATCTTCCTATCTTGTGCATATCATTCTGTGAAGATCACAGATGGTTATGAGAAAACCTTCCCAATTGTAGCACCCAAGCATCTGTGAATCATTGTGAACTGTTGAAGTAGAAATCACTGCTAGGTTCCAACCTGGTCTGCTGAGGTCTCATAAAATAACACTTAGAAGGCAGCAACAATGGGTCAGGAGGGAAGTAGTTGGGTTTTGAACCCAGTTCATGACCTACAAGTCAAAATAATTCCTTCATTTTAACTAGTAGTAAGACTAGTTCCATGCAAGGCATTTAAACCGGTCAGTCCTAGGAGAGATCAACCCCGACTGCTCTTTAGAAGGCCAGATCCTGAAGTTGAAACTCAAATACTTTGGCCACCTAATGAGAAGGAAGGACTCACTGGAGAAGAGCCTAATGCTGGGAAAGATTGAGGGCAATAGAAGAAGGGGACGACAGAGAATGAGGTGGCTGGATGGAGTCACTGAAGCAATAGGCGTGAGCTTAAATGGTACAGGAAGGCCTGGAGGAACATTGTCCATGGGTCACGGTGGGTCGGACACGACTTTGAAACTAATAACAACAACAAGAAGAAGACTAGTTCCATAGCTCAGCTGACATCAAGCTGTGGAATAGGACATAAGCTTCTTACCTGCAAATTCATATATTTTAGGCATGTCTTAGATTCACAATAAAAGAATAATGTAATTGGCTTGAACTCTAACTCTCTCTCTCTCTCTCTCTCTCTCTCTCTCTCTCTGTGTGTGTGTGTGTGTGTGTGTGTGTGTGTGTGTGTCTTCTGTCTCCTATCTGCCATTTGCCAAAGCTAGAGGTAGTTTCTAGACCAGCTGTGTGCCTGGGCAAAAGTCTCTTTGGGCTTTGCCAAGAAAGTGGTGGGGAAGCAAAGAATATGTTCTGCAGCATGGCTAGCCAAAGCTTTTTGTGAGCCATGTTGGAGGATGTGTCTCTTGCCTCATCTGTCATTGTTTTGCAAAGAGTTTGAGGGAAACTATGCTGGAGAAGAGAAATAACAACATTCTCTACACATGGTGTTCCTGTTTCTATCTTTGGTAAGCAATCTAAAGAAAGTTCTTTTGAAGCAGCATTCACCAAAACTTGGCTAGGACTATTAGAGTATGTATAACACCTTCTAGTCACTTCAACCTTCGGTTTGATGGACAATTTGCTTCACAAAGCAGCTTCAGGCCTATGTGTTGCATGCACTCATCAAAACCAATCACCCCTTTAAAGAGTCTCAGCCATCAGGATATGAACTGTCCCTTGGTGGAATCCAGAAGGTCTCAGGTTCTTCTACAAAGATGGCAGCAAAAGTATAACTTCTCCAAATGTACATGCATGGATTATGTATGCACATTTAGTGGCTCGTATGTATGCAAATCTAGTTATACAAATACTTACTTGTTCCAAAACCTTGCTTAGATCATTTTCCCAAGGGAAATAACCCAAGTTAATTTGTAAAGAGGCAGCTTGAGAATAATGTGCATGCAAAAACTAGTTTGCTCTATCACAGCCATTGCAAACAAATAAACATTTCCATAATTTATGTGCACACATTTCAGCTGGTTTAAGTGACAAAAGGCAATAGAAAAAGGCAGAGTTAATGCTAATGCCTCCATAGAGCAGGAGTGCATGCCTTTCTTTCAGCCAAGAAGTGCACTTTTTAATTATTTTGGTCTCACAAGGTGTTCAAGGTTATACGGTGTCAACAGGTCCAAGAGGTTGGCAAATTGTGTACTTCCTCCTTTCTTAAAGAGCCAATGAATAGAACACAATAAACTTCTGTTAAGACTTATGGAGGCTCGATGCATTTGCACTGTTTTAGAGAGCAAAGTAATAATGCTTCCCTGAAGATCTATAATTTTGTAGCTGAGTTTGAGTGAAGATCTTTGGGTTGTCCAAGAGCCACAGATTATTTCCCTTTACAGGTTTTTATAGGAAGGCAAAAGGAGTTCCTGTCCCTAGCACTAAAGTGTTAGGAAGGTTATAATTAGGTTAAATGTAACCTGGTTGCCAATCCAGCATTATATTCCCATAGTGAGAACCAAAGGCCTCTGGGGAGGAGACATAACCCTATATGGTCTTCTTTGGAAAGTGATACTCTCATACAGTGGGGATGATACACAGCCCTTGCAATGTGACCATGCAGCTTTAATTATAAAGAAAGGGGCTTTGATTATTCAAGTTGTTTCCTATTCAGAATGATCATAAACAAAAGAATGAAGAGCCCTGGTGGTGTGGTGGTTAGAATGCAGTATTGCAGGCAAACTCTAACCTGGAGTTCCATCCTGACCAGCTCCAGGTTGATTCAGCCTTCCATCCTTCTGAGGTCAGTAAAATGAGAATCCAGATTGTTGAGTGCAACACGCTGACGTTGTAAACCACCCAGTGAGTGCTGTAAAGCAGTATGGAACAGTGTATTACCATGATAAAACATCAGGACTGCAAGAGAAGGTAGGGGAACTGGAAGCCATAAATGTTATGGTTTAGAGCAGGAGTAAAACACCATCAGGCTTTCAGATGTTGCATTCCAGCTTCCAGCACTCCATTCCTTTGCTTCAGTATCATTTTACTTTTTTTTTTTTTTTTTTTGCCAGCAATGCAGGTTAGGTTTGCCTTCATGCAAACTTCAGGCAGGAAGTCCTAGCAGACAGAAAAGCCCCTTCTTGCTAATCTCCAAAAGCATGGAGGCATTGGAAACACGATTATCAAATATATGAAAGAATCCATGAAGAATTCTGAGAGTGTTCAACAAGAACATCTAGGAAGAAATCTGTTAGTTGAATGGTGGCCATTATACCATCCTATATACAACAGAGCATGAAGGAAGAGATGGTCTCCTTCCTTGGAGGAAATCGTTTTCTTGAGCCTACATGCAAGAAGTAGATGTATTGGTTAGCCTCCCCACCTCACCCTATTATTCAGTTTGTCCCAAAACCAATAATGTTTGCAAAGTTAACAGATAGGGAGAGTAAAAGATGAACTGAGCTCAGAAAATTGAGGGTTGATCCAAGTTAGAATGGAACATATTAGAGGAGAAGAGGTCATTGAAATCAGTGCCAAAATTTGTGAGGATCTTTGCCTACAGGAGTTCAGTTTTCAATTTGCATCTTAGACTGCCTCTCTTCGTTTACTACTCTAACCTTTCTTTTTCGCCTTCTAGGAATTTGTCTTATTTTGCTACACACCACAGCCCCTCTGCAGTCATTTTGGACTTATGGGAAGCCAGACACCAGCATGATGGTGACTTAGACTCTCTAGCTTGTGCTCTGGAAGAAATAGGAAGGACACAATCCCAACTTTCTAACCTTACAGAAACTCAGATGGAGGAATCCAACTTCAGCTACAGCAGACAAAATGGACTTTAGCCATTGCTTTTCTTTCAGAGAGTCAAGAGCAAGCTTGCACTGGAATGGAGTTCCTCTTCACAGGGAAGAAGTCACACGTCCTGATTTCACCCCATGCATTTGCACCAACTTTCACTCGGTGGGTCACTCCTTCTGCCCTCAAGCCACGTCCCGTCTGGAGGAACAGAAGAAGCTGGTAAACCACAACTATTACACAGAGACTTTTCTATGCTGGACAAAAAGGAAAAAACACCCCCTCCACACACACATACACGCACTTTCATGTACACAAACAAATTCTATGCTTGTGTGCTAACAATCCTTGAGACACAAAGTGTGTATGAATACACAGTGCTTCAAACAAGAAAAGAAAATATGAAATTGTTGCAGATGCTTGGAATTGTCTTTGTGTGCGTGTGCGTGGAGCAAGGGGGAGTGTTTGAGTCGCTTGTTTTTTGTTTGTTTAGTCAACTTACAGGGTTAGTTTGTAACTTAAAAATAGGAAGCATGAAGTCCCTTTGATGAGTATGATCATCCGGGGGGGGCATAGGCAAGGATTTGAGGTTACGGCTGATACCAATGGTAGAGAATGCACAGAAATATATTGTTATGCTTTGGACTAATTTTGGGGGCTTAGAGCTAAGCAAAATGTTTCCTGAAATATATTTTAAAGCCTATTTCTGAAGGTTTTCTCTCTTTTTTATCCATTTGGATAAAAATGCTAGTTGCATAGTTTTCTTTAGAAATATTGTCCATTTTTAAAGGATAGAGGTTATGAACGTATACATTTTTTTTCAAAAAAAATGGCCTTGGGTGGATAGGGAAGAAGGAATAGTTTCCCAATGTGAGAAAAAACTGCAACATGGTCTCTTTTTACTAAATACGTCACTCTAACTGAGAAATTCAAGAGGTTATGCAAACAGAACTCTAAAAAAAATGTTATTGGTGATTTGTGTTTAGGTTACGTGGAAAGCAGCAATTTAAACCTTTACTTTTGCGAAAGAGGCATCTGATACTCCGCTTTAATTTCAAAATACTTGAGAATTTATTTCAAATTTGTCTTGATATGCTTTTTCGCTGATTTTATAAGTAATGGATGGACTCTGTTTGGTGGGGGGATTCAAATATGTGAAAAACCGGTTCTCGGTATGGATGCCTCTTCCATAAGTCCATTCTGGGCCTGGGCAACGAAAAATTCGCTACAGGTTCTGCCGAAGTGGTGCAAACTGGCTGAATCCCACCACTGGCTCTGTTACTGGGATTATGTTCTATGACATGTCTCTCTACAACCAGCCTCCTGAAAAAGATCCATGGTAGGATTTTTCTCCTGGCATTTTTCCTTGAGATTTCTTTCTTGTGTGTTGCCCAGGGTCTCATAGTTTGAGTTGGGTGGCCTTATACATCTCATATATGAAGTATAAAAAGTCAGGGAGGTTGCAGGCCTCTGAAAAGGTGATTGTATAATAAAGGATAGAGCAGTGGTGGCGAACTTATGGCACGGGTGCCAGAGGCGGCATTCAGAGCCCTCTCGGTGGGCACGCACACCGTCACCCCAGTCCTAGGCCTTCAGCTGGGTTTTATAAAACCTTTTCGCTTTAGGCCTCCGCTGCTGTGTACAAAAAAAAAAAAGGTTCAATCAATCTGTCAATTTCAACTTCTTGCGGGAAAAAAAAAGATCTTGCAAAGTTAGAATTGATTGATTGAACTTTTTAGTTCCACCCAGTCTGCCGTTACCATTGCACCCAGCCAATGGGCCACACCCACCCAGCACTCGACGATGCATAAGTGGGTTTTGGGTTGCAGTTTGGGCACTCAGTCTCTAAAAGGTTCTCCATCACTGGGATGCAGCCTTTGGTGGTCTCAGAACTGAGTAAATGAAAGAGCTCCATGTTCTAACTGTGAGAATATGTCTGAAATTCTCTTTTCCATTGAACACTTTATCTAAAGCCAATTCTCTTTCCTCAACGAGTGAGTACTAGTAGAAATAATGCAGGAGAATACACATATTTTCTTTTCTTTCTTTCTTTTTTTTCATTCTAAAAGCATTTGCTATAAAGATGGGGATATCCCTGATTTTATCTGAGCAGTGGTGGTCAAAATTATACACAGCTCTTACTCGCTTTATTATTGCCCTGATCAAAATCAAAATCTGCTGATATTACACAAATATAGCCTTTGCTACTTGTTTTTTTTTTTTTGAAAGGTTCTTCATAGTAGGCAGCACCAAAGGAATTGCATCAAACTATGATTGTTTGGTTATTTGATTATTGGTTTCATATCTGAATTATTTTTCATTATGTGCAGTGGTAGGATGGGTGCCTTTCAAGTAATATACGGAGCAGAGATTTTATACCTTAAGACAAGGGTCTTCAAACTTGGTCCTTTTATGACTTGTGGACTTCAACGCCCAGAATTCCTCAGCCAGGCACGCTGGCTGAGCAATTCTGGGAATTGAAGTCCACAAGTCATAAAAGGGCCAAGTTTGAAGACCCCTGCTTTAAGAAGTCCACACTTCTTACTTATATCTTTGGTTGATGCTCTTGGGGAGCAAGGAAGGTGAAAGAAGCTGTTCAGTAGAAGAAATGGGTCAATTATAACCGGAGTCAATGAATTTTAGATCTTTTAAGAAAAAGTGAGTACAGTAGATTATATAAATTACCTTCCAGAAGTTCAGTCTCCACCATCTCCAGATTGGATTGGCAAAATTCTCTAAGACTCCAGAGAATATTTTACTGTACTATCAGTCTGTCAAACATAATGGATTAGATAATCCAAAATTTGACTTTGTGCAATGTCTTCCCATTTCCTTAAGATACATGCTCAAGAAACTGTTCTGACTTAGAGTTGGGTTGATTGAGATGCTTTCAAAAATATATTGATCTGGCTCATTCTTTGTTGGTGCTTCTGCCAAATTCTCTTGTGCATAGTGTGTTAGATTCAGGCTTAAGAGACTTAGATTTGTTGATACTTTTGGTCATAAGTGATGTAAAATAATTGCCCCACTGTTTACAGTAAAGTCTGCTCTAAATCATAGTTTGAAGTCATAGTTTTCTTCAAAGGAATATTAATTTATTTCATTTTTTATTTTTTTTAGAAAGGATGGCCTCTTCATTTGCTTTTGAAAAATTGTGACAGAATAATTTTTATAAATCATCTTTTTTTTTCCTTTCACTTCTGATTATTTGAAAATCAGTAATAATATCAATCTTCTATTTCTCAAATTAGATGTTTGATTTTCGGTTGTTGCAGCTATCACCATTATAATTTTAAACTTGGCATAGTGTCTGTGGTTCTCTCTCCAATTATCCACAGAAGCCAATAAAATATGCTATAGAAACAAGGGTCTAATGCCAATCCTGATTAAATGAGGTTATAGACTTGTTTCTCCCTAGCCTTTCTAAATAATCTAACTACACCAGTCTTGCTCATGAACAGTTCCAAGAAATAAGATGCCCATTCACTAACGGGATCCCTGGGCTAAATTTTATCATACAACCACATCCTCAGAAAGCATTAGCACTCTCTTGGCATCTGATATTGATTTGGGTTTTTACACATGGTAGTGCAGTGGTGAGAATGCAATATTTCAGGCAAACTCTGCCCACAGCCTACAGTCTGATCCTGACCAGCTCAGATTTGACTCAGCCTTCTATCCTGAGGTCAGTAAAATGAGGACCCAGATTGTTGGGGGCAAGATGCTGACTTTGGAAACCACCCAGAGAATGCTGTAAAGTTTTATGGAATGGTATATAAGTCTAAGTGCTATTGCTATTGCTATTTGTGCAGTCAAAGCTCACTAACACTAATTTTATTATCATTCCTGCTACCTCTTTATTTACTGTTTGGGCTATTTAAACATTCTTAAGCTCTCATGTCTCTCAATTTATACTCTGTGTCCATTCTGGTTCTACCTGCATTAGAAAAGCTTTGAGCTTCTTAATTTTCATGGAATATCTTTCAAGGAATAAAGGATAGGAAAATGAATTGGGCCGCTCAACTTCCAGGGTAGTAATAAACATCCTGCAGACTGCAAGTATCTTCTGTAAAATGTTAAATTGTTAATGATCATTTCTGATGTTTCTCAAGAATTCAATGTTCTTTCTCCAGAGGTTTCTTCATAGGATGGAGAGACAAAGGTGTCAGAAAGAAATATATTAGGGAAATTAACTTGAGGAAAAATAATGATGCATGCACAATGCATACAAATGTGAAAATTAAGAAGAGGGTATATTTGCAATACAATATAAATGATATTAAGGAAATATGATATATACTAAAGTACAAAATGTGCCAAAGAGTACACAGGTTTCCAACAGTTATAACTGGCAAGGACAATTTCAATGTCCTAAACTCCTATGCTTATTTTCAGCACATTTAGAACATGGTCCCTCTGCTATCCACACATTTGGCACTTATGCAGAGCAGTTCTTCAGGAAAAATTTTGGAACTGCTCTTCTTTGAAGTAGCCTTTTAATTGTCTCAGGATGCCTCTTGCAAAAGAAAAGGCTGTATCCTTTAGTAAATTCATGGACAATCCACAAGCAGCTGTAACAAATCAATACAGTCACAGTATGTCTAAACACAAATTAGGTCCCTGTACCACAGATGTTATCTGAGCATTTTAGCCTGGTTTACAAGAGTCAGTTAAAAAATTGACAACCTGAAGTGAAACTGTCCATCTCTTTCAGAGAGAGTGAGACCCTTCTGTTCAGTTTTCTTGATGGCACACACATCTTGAACCCTGATGTCAGATCACTTTGTCAATGGTGGGGGTCCTGGTGTCCCATTGGGACCATTTGCATTGGTCTTTAGAGCAGCCTGGATCCAAGACCAACAGACAGGGAAGGTTCAGCCAGATGTCCATGTGGAGGTCAAGGCAGTAGCAGCAGGAAGTGGTGAGGGTGTCATCTTCTAAAGCATCTCCATTTGGCCAAAGGGGAAGCACCAAACCTGATTCCGAGAGCTGTGAATAATCATCAAAAACAGATGTTGTTTAATTTAGATAACAACAAAGCCCTAATCTCATAAGGCCTTTTGTATTGCCATAAAAACGCTTAGAGGAAAAACAGGAGACATTCATATTAAAAATGCTCCTATGAATAGCTAGAAAAATGCACCACTTTTGAGAAAATACTCGTGGGTTTAGAAATAAAGATAATTATAATCCAATAATTCCAGGCTTTATTTCACCTCAATATGGTAGATGTTAATTAAATAGGAAAAAAAATATACCCAACGGCTAGCAAAGTGTTCCACTGGATGTTCCACCTTTTCTCCCCAATTATGACTATAAAAATCTTCTCAAATTTCAACACTTGTTCACAAATTTCACTTCCAAACTTTCTTACAAAAAGGTATGGTAAGATGTACTGTGCAAAGCTTTCATACTAAACAGAACCATCAGGTTTTTTTTTAAAAAAAAATTATGTTTAATAAGTTTCTGAAAATTCTTAAGCAATCTAGAAGGCAGGAAAACAGTAGCTTTTTCCTTATTAAAATGTGTTTTCTGTCTTTTAATATAATGTCCATTTTTCTATTTTCCAAAAGAAAAAAAAACCAACAACTTTTGACAGGTGTCCATAGCATGCACTTCTTTTATGAGGTTCTTATATTGATAAATGATGTTTGCATGTAAGGGCACCAAGTTGGTCTCATGCCTTTGCAATATATAGGATTTTCATTTAGAGTCAACAGGGCTTCAAAAGTAACATCGTCAAAATCTCTACATTAATTTTAGAGTTCGGCAAAAACGCAATGTTCTTTTGGTGGCAATTTTTTTTTTCAATTTCAGGTTTTAGAATTACTATGAACTGAGAGGAGGCAGAAACACTGGCAGATGAAAACATGTATTTATCAAATACTATCCAAATCTTATTTTCTTTTTAAAAAGATTTCCTTTGGAAAAAGGTGGATTTTTCATATTGCTTTTCATGCTGAAAATGACAGGGATGTTGCTTTTTTGCGGGGGTGGTCTTATTTTCTGTAAGTGCAAGATTCTGCAATAAAGATTTGTAATTCAAAGGCTGAGTGCCAAAGAACTGAGGCCTTTGAACTATGGTGCTGGAGAAGACTCTTGCGAGTCCCCTGGACTGCAAGGTGATCAAACCAGTCAGTCCAGGAGGAGATCAACCCTGACTGCTCTTTAGAAGGCCAGATGCTGAAGTTGAAACTCAAGTACTTTGGCCACCTAATGAGGACTCACTGGAGAAGAGCCTAATGCTGGGAAAGATGGAGGGCAATAGAAGAAGAGGACGACAGAGAATGAGGTGGCTGGAGGGAGTCACTGAAGCAGTAGGAGTGAGCTTAAATGGACTCCAGAAGATGGTAGAGGACAGGAAGGCCTGGAGAAACATTGTCCATGGGGTTGCGATGGGTTGGACATGACTTTGCAACTAACAACAACAATTCACTCCTGTACAACTTCCCTTAACCTAGGACTGAATGGAAGCATAGGAAACGAGGGAGTCTGCAAATTTCTGGAGAAAGAATTCAGAAAGAAGGATAAGGTACATCCTCTTAGTACTTTGTAGCT